CATCTCGCGGTCGTGTATCGGGTAGTTACGTTCGGGCGGGTGCAGTTTGCGGGACTCGTACGCGATTGGTTGGAGGCCGTTCCCGAATTCCTGCAACAGTACTGCTCCCACAGCGATGTCACTTGCGTCGGTGACGAGCTCGAACGGACGGTGGGGATCTGCAATGTGAAGGACGGGCGGGGAGCACAAAATATTTTTGAGGGCCGAGAAGGCAGCTTGCTCTTTCTCCCCCCACGTGTACTCAACCCCCTTCCTCAGCAGGTCGGTCAACGGGGCAGTCAGCTTCGCCATGTCGGGGACGAACCGGCGCACGTAGTTGACGAACCCCAGGAAACTCTGCAACTCGGTCAAGTTGGTCGGCGCGTGCCAAGCCTGAATCGTCGCAATTTTCTTCGGGTCTATTTCCACTCCTGCAGCTGAAATAACATGTCCCAAAAACTCCAGGCGGTCCTGTAAAAACTCACACTTAGATGCTTTGGTCAGTAGGCGGTTTTCACTCAGGATTTTAAAAACTGCTTCGATGTCCTGTAAGTGCTGTGCTCTGTCAGGGCTGTAAATCAGTATGTCGTCCAGATAAACGATGACGCACTTATCTAAAAGCGGGCGGAATGCTTCGTTCATGGTCATTTGGAAAGTTGCGGGGGCGTTGGTCAATCCGAATGGCATGACGATGTATTCGAAGGATCCGTAGCGTGTTCGGAATGCGGTTTTAGGGCAGTCGGGTGGATTAACGCGGATTTGGTGGTAGCCTCCCCGGAGGTCAATTTTCGAGAAAACCCGGGCTGTGCGCAGTTGGTCGATCAGTTCGTCGGCTCGTGGGATGGGGTAACGGGATTTAATGGTAACCCTGTTCAGTGCCCTGTAGTCGATACACATGCGAAATCCCCCGTCTTTTTTTGGTGTGAACAGTATGGGTGCGGCGAAGGGCGACGAACTAGGGCGAATGAATTCCTTCTCGAGCAGGTAATCGAGCTGCTTCCTCAGTTCGTCTAGTTCGGGTTGGGTCAGTCGGAATTGTCGTTGTACTGTTGGCTGTGCCCCCGGTTCCAGTTCTATCCTGTGATCGTGCGGTCGCTGAGGTGGCAGTCCCATCGACAGGTCGTCCGGGAAAATGTCACTGTACTGTTTTAACAGTGCCGCCAGGTCACTCGGTACGTCGGTCAGCAGTTTCTGTAAATCGCCCCCCTTGTCTGCTGCCTCGGCTTCCCGAATGTCAACCGCGTACACGTCAGCTCCGGCCGCTACAGCGCGTTTCATCGCGATCGCATTGACACGCACCGACGAAGACTCAGGCGAGCCTCAGCGAGGTAAGGCGATGCTGTTACCGTTCACTCGCACGGTGCAGTCACCCGTCGTCCAGTCAATTCGCGGGTTGTGTCGTCGCAGCCAATCACGCCCGAGTAAAATGTCGGTTCCGTCGAGGGTCGTTGCGAGCATTTCCTGACTAAACGTGAAGTTACCCCCGCATCGAATCCGAACTCGGTCTACGCGTTCCCGTATTGCCAGCGGCGTGCCGTCTACCAGTCGTGCGTCGATCTCAGGTAAGCATCGGTCCAGTGGCAGTCGCAGTTTTCGTGCTGTAGCAGTGTTAATGAGGCTGTGGCTGGCTCCCCCGTCTACGAAGATTTTAACTAAGTCCGTCCCAATTTTCCCACTGAGCAGTATAGGGCTGTCTACCGTGGTACCCTCCTTATTCGGCCGGGTGTGGTCGATTGCGTGAACCGGCACAATCACTCGGTGAGGGTCGGTTGGGTCGGGCGAGCGGCGTGACCTGTCAGTAGAGGGCCCGTCTGCTACTGACTTCCAGCGTTTCCCTGCTGCTTGGTCTGTGTCTGCTGCTCAGCTTCCCCCTTTCCCTTAGCGTTTTCTGGGCATTCGCTCTTGCGATGTCCCGGCCGATTGCACGCAAAGCAGCGCCCTTTGAATGGTGCGGCAGCGGCATTTGCGGCGACGGCGCGTATCGTGGCGCTCTCGTTCGTCCCACGAGGCCGATGTCCCCAGGTGTTGTTTCCGTAGGACCTCGGTCTCGGTCGGCGAAAGAAGTCGAGCTTCTCCGCCATAGCGAGAATTTCCTGAAATTCGGTGACGCCGCGAAGCTGGATTTCCTGAGCGATGTCCTGCTTCAGGCCGCCGATGTAGCGGTCGATGCGTTCGCTCTCATGCATGTAGCCCACCTGCTCGCATAGCGCCAGAAATCCGCTCGTGTAATCCTGGACGGAACCGAGTTGGCGCCAAGTGCGGAGCTTCTGTCGCGCCGAGATCGAGGCCGCGATTGGCTCAAATCGAGCGAGCAGACCTGCGCACCACGCGTCCCACGTGCGATACTGGGGCACCTCCACGAAATACGACGGCGCCCAGGGTCCGGTTTGTCCTTCCCGTGTCGGTAGTGTCGCGTAGTCGGTCGGCTTCGTGACGATGACGCGCCACCAGTCCATGGCGGGTCCTCGCAGCAACGACACGGCGTATCGGATCTTCGCGAGTCCTCGGAGACGTAGTTGGCGTCGAAGAAAACATTCATTGTGAATAACCACGCCTGAACGGTAGGACCACCCCGTTGACTCGGGTCAAAGCATGGCGGGCGCTGCGGTTTCAGCGGCATCGGTGACGGCAGTCCCGAATCGTGGGTTGGTGCCGAAATCGTGACGCGAGGCTGACTTGGGGCCGCAGGCGTCGCTCTGGGGTGTGTCGTGCCGTGGTCGTCGTCTCCGTCGGGGCGGACGACGCCATCACTGGCCGCGCTCGCGGGTTGCCCCACACTCCCGTGTTGTGATGTTGAGGGTGCGGGTTGAATCGGAGTGCCAGGTGCTTGAGATTGTGCTCTCATGAGGTCATTTTGCAGTGATGAGCGTTCTGCCGTTAGTGCCGCGATTTCCTCGGAGCTTTCGTGCAGTTGTCGCAGCAGCTCGTTCAAACGCTCCTGCGTGAGAGTGGTGACGTCGATATTGTCGGCCATGGCGAAGGGCGCCGGCTTGTCTTAGTCTAGGCGCAGTCGTGGCTGCACGCGTTTACGAGAGAACGCGAGGACAGCGGCTCCTAGGGGCTAAGGTGCGTGAGTCCCTTCGAGTGAAAAAATCAAAAGTTGATTTCCTGGTGTGCGGAGATGCGCGGTCCGAAAGAAAGGGGCTCTGATAACCAAGTGTTACGGGTGCAATGAATCGAGGTAGCGAGAATTGCACTAAGGTGTCAAACGAGTACAAAATGTGAGCGAAGGCATGAGCGAACATTTATACGCGAAACATGCAAAACGGTAACGCGGTGCGTGCGAGCTTGCTAGTGCTACGCTGGAGCGAGGCTCGGGCTAGTCCCGAAGCGTAGGCCGATACGGCCATGCAAGCAGTGTGAGGTTTGGTAAAACAGTGCGCGCGAAGTCGGCGAAGTTCCGTTAGCAGTAACGGGCGAACAATCGGCTGTTGCCGTACGCGATGTAGTCGGCTCCGTAAGGAATGCCGAGAAAATTCCTTACATGAAGCTGTTCCTGAAGCCACATATAAAACTTTTCTGAATCAACCAGGTGACTGCTATGCAGTAACTATTGTCTTCGCAAGGCAGCTTACATGGATGTTCTCCAAATTAAAGTTTTAAATTACTCATTCACAAGATATAATATGGAAAAGTTATGATAACCGAATATTGGAGAAAGTATTTCATGTGTATTTTTTTTCATTTATATCCTTCGCGGTCTTTTTGTTTGTGTCATGGTGATCCATCCTGAGCCACTAAATTTGATTTGTAAATGTACTAGTTAGACTCACTTTACAGAGTGCGCGTTTAGGACAGAGTCAGATTGTATTCCGAAGTTGGGACACCATCGAAGTTCCCCCACCGCAAGCACTTTTTGGGGGTTGATGGTGTCGATGTGGGGTGTGGCCCCAGTTTTGACATGCGACTATTTTTTGGCGTGCGACCGGGTTCGTCAGAATCGCCTGACGGTTGTTGGTTCAGACTGGTTTCGTGCCCAATCAGAGCGCGGAAACAGTAGACAGCGAAATCTACTCAAACAGCATGCGAAGAACATTCACCGCCGGCTCATTGGTTGCCGTGGGCAGATTTTGCAAAGAATTCGTGACGGTCATAATTGTAAGTTGAAGTCACTGGATTGAAGCCCAACATTCCCCGATCATCCAGGTCGCATTTTGACCTGTGCATCATTCGCACGTCATCTGACCGGTATGTTCCGTGGTGTCCAGACTTCGAACCGCGTGGGGCAACATTGAAATGACACGTCAACATTTCGAGTCGTGTGGGAGTACTTCGGATGGTGTCCCCCAACTTCGGAATAGCCGCAGTCTTTTGACGGAGTTTCAGCTCCTCGTTGCACAGAGCCTCAAAACGTAAAAGACTTATGTGATTCCGCGCGCTGACTTTGATGGAGTGGCACGAGGCTATTTTCTAACTTCAGCTGATCCTAGTCTAGGGAATACCGTGCAGTCCTAGTTTTCCAACACCTTCGGTTTCTTTCGGTTTCTCGAGAGTGCGGAGCAGAACAGATCACCTAGCCAATGAGGAAATAATATGATCCGTACGAGTTACATGCTCTGATTATTTCACTCCACACTTTCTCGGCTTCCAGCTGGTTTTTTCAGCATTGCGTCTTGCCCACTCGATCCAACCTCGATTCCACTCGACATTGCGTATAACCTTGTAGGCAAGCAACGAGGAGACAGCGTGCGTAGACGGGACCGCGCGTTTATGCTCTCATGACACCGAGAAGTTGTAGTCGTTGATTAGGGTTACATAGTTCAGTCTCTGTTCTATTTGTTGCATTCTCGCGTTGGGGATCGGCGAAACTGCGCCGGGGAAGGATCCGATTCTACTAGTTCTTGGATTGGCGGGAACCCTTACCAGCTGATTGATTCACTTCGTCATAGAGAGAAAGGGGATCAAGTTTGAGCTTTTCAGGGACGGATCTTTTGACTCAATTCTGCGACATAAATCGAATTGGGCTTTGCGACAATCGAATTAGACTCAGCGACACAATGGCTTCACTCGAGATGACCGATATGAAGAGTACGTTTCTTTTCGCTTACCCCTGGATCTGTGCGACTTGGTGTTACCTGCCGATTCCGAGTTCGCTTGTCGCATAGGATGCTTTGAATTGCGCTGGCCGTGCATCTATATCTCATCTGATCGCGCACTGTTTCTGCACTCTGATTCTGTTTCTGAAACATTGTGCTCATTTCCGTCTCGTGTCATTAGTGTTTGCCGAAATGCGACTCACTTCCTTTGACCCATCTTCAAGTCGTCGGATTCTTGACTCTTCCCCGACCCGAATTGGATTCCTTTTTTTCCTGCGCTGTATCTTTTGGTATCTCTCGGCTCTTTTGGTTTCTCTGGACTCTCCTGGTATCCCTTTTTTTTTCTTTTTTTTTTTGGGCTTTAAGGAGATCCCCGGAGGTAACCAACCCCCCGTAGGGAGAAGGCGCTTCGGTATCCCTGGTATCCCTGACTCTTTAAATTCTCTCGATTCTTTGGTTGCGCGTCGTGCAGAGATCGGCATTGGGCTGACTGCGTTTGGCGTGCTCTTCTCGTTTCTCGGAGTCGTCTTCTTCTTTGATAAAGGGCTGCTAGCCATGGGGAATGTGAGTCGGCATGGGGAACCCTTTTTTTGGGGAGGGGGGGGGTTGAGGGGGGGGTGCAGGGATCGGGATTGGGTTGACCGCGTTTGGCGTGCTCTTCTCGTTTTCCGGAGTCGTCTTCTTCTTTGATAAAGGGCTGCTAGCCATGGGGAATGTGTGTACATCTTGGGAAACGCGATTGTTTTATGAAAAAAATTAGAGGTTTCTGCTAGTGTGAAGCCTCGGAATCACTTCTCAAATAAAAGGGCAATAGCTTCGGAAATGTGAGTACTGCATGGGAGTCGTGTTTTTTTTTTTTTTTTGTGAGTAAAGTGATCATGTTCTTGAAAAGTTTTCACACAAACTTGTGTTGTTTCCACAAAGTGGCTTTTTGATCAGTTTCATGAATGATAACCAGAGTAAAGCGAACCATCCTGCTCTGTGAGCAGGTTTGCTCATTTTGTACCCTAAACTTTTGTTTCACCCAACTGGGTGTGGCAGATCTTGTTCCTCGCGGGTGTGACGCTCACAATCGGTCTGCAATCCACCATCTCCTTCTTCACTAGGCGAAGAAACAGAAAGGTGGGATTCGTCTGCCTCCCTCTGTGTGCCATCTGCCTCCCTCTGCGTGACGTCTGCCTCCCTCTGTGTGACGTCTGCCTCCCTCTGTGTGTCATCTGCCTCCCTCTGCGTGACGTCTGCCTCCCTCTGCGTGACGTCTGCCTCCCTCTGCGTGACGTCTGCCTCCCTCTGCGTGACGTCTGCCTCCCTCTGTGTGCCGTCTGCCTCCCTCTGCGTGCCATCTGCCTCCCTCTGCGTGACGTCTGCCTCCCTCTGTGTGACGTCTGCCTCCCTCTGTGTGACGTCTGCCTCCCTCTGTGTGCCGTCTGCCTCCCTCTGTGTGACGTCTGCCTCCCTCTGCGTGACGTCTGCCTCCCTCTGTGTGACGTCTGCCTCCCTCTGCGTGACGTCTGCCTCCCTCTGTGTGCCATCTGCCTCTGCGTGACGTCTGCCTCCCTCTGCGTGACGTCTGCCTCCCTCTGCGTGACGTCTGCCTCCCTCTGTGTGCCGTCTGCCTCCCTCTGCGTGCCATCTGCCTCCCTCTGCGTGACGTCTGCCTCCCTCTGTGTGACGTCTGCCTCCCTCTGTGTGACGTCTGCCTCCCTCTGTGTGACGTCTGCCTCCCTCTGTGTGCCGTCTGCCTCCCTCTGCGTGACGTCTGCCTCCCTCTGTGTGCCATCTGCCTCCCTCTGCGTGACGTCTGCCTCCCTCTGTGTGACGTCTGCCTCCCTCTGCGTGACGTCTGCCTCCCTCTGTGTGCCATCTGCCTCCCTCTGCGTGACGTCTGCCTCCCTCTGTGTGACGTCTGCCTCCCTCTGTGTGCCATCTGCCTCCCTCTGCGTGACGTCTGCCTCCCTCTGCGTGACGTCTGCCTCCCTCTGCGTGCCGTCTGCCTCCCTCTGCGTGCTGTCTGCCTCCCTCTGCGTGACGTCTGCCTCCCTCTGTGTGACGTCTGCCTCCCTCTGTGTGACGTCTGCCTCCCTCTTTGTGCCGTCTGCCTCCCTCTGTGTGCCGTCTGCCTCCCTCTGTGTGCCATCTGCCTCCCTCTGCGTGACGTTTGCCTCCCTCTGTGTGACGTCTGCGTCTGCCTCCCTCTGTGTGCCATCTGCCTCCCTCTGCGTGACGTCTGCCTCCCTCTGCGTGACGTCTGCCTCCCTCTGCGTGACGTCTGCCTCCCTCTGCGTGACGTCTGCCTCCCTCTGTGTGCCATCTGCCTCCCTCTGCGTGACGTCTGCCTCCCTCTGCGTGACGTCTGCCTCCCTCTGTGTGACGTCTGCCTCCCTCTGTGTGCCGTCTGCCTCCCTCTGTGTGACGTCTGCCTCCCTCTGTGTGCCCTCTGTCTCCCTCTGAACCGCACCCTCTTGGTCTCTGCACCAGCATCGACCTTTTGAGTGAGAACGGCAATTTTGCCCTCAAAATCCTCACACGCGCTTGGCCCTGGTTTCTTAACAAGGACTCGCCTTCCATGGTGTGACGGACCAGGCTTTGTTGCGATCCTCTAGAGCTCCTCGTTGTCTCCCTCTCCCGTTCTCTCCTTCCTCCCATTGTCCTTTCCCTCCCGTTATCTCTTCCCTCCCATTATCATCTCCCTTCTTCCAATGTCCACACATTACATGAATGCCCTGCTCGATGTTGCATTGCATGCATCTCGCCAACCGGCGTACACCCGGCTATCATGCTCCACCTTTGTCTCTACCTCAGCCCACCATGACCTCCCCTCCCCTCCCCTCACCATCTCCGGTACATAGATATTGCACCAACCAGCTTCTACCCACCGTTTGTCCTCTTTGGGTTGGTTCTTGTGCTGGTAGGCCGGACTATGATTGAACATGGCTATTGTTGTGTAGGCCGGACTATGATTGAACATCGCTATTGTTGTGTAGGCCGGACTATGATTGAACATGGCTATTGTTGTGTAGGCCGGACTATGATAGGCATGCAGTTGGAGCACGTGGCTTCAATCAGTGATGTCTCATGTTCTCCCTAATCTCCTGCAACAGGGCTCGGCGTTTTTCCTCTCGGGGTTGGTTCTTGTTGTGATTGGCTGGACAATTGTTGGCATGGCCATCCAAGCATATGGCTTCGTTCTACTCTTCAGGTAGGCATGGAATCAAAGGCGTATTCTGTGTCGACTCACAGTGAAACTGGATGATATTGACATGGCCACCCAAGCACACGGCTTCGTCCTACTACTGTTCAGGTAGGCATGGATTTTAGGTGTATTCTGTGTCAACTCAGAGTACACCCAGATGATAGTTGGCATGGCCGTCCAAGCATATGGCTTTGCTCTTTCTCTCAGGTAGGCATGGATTTTAAGTCTACTTCGAGGCGACTCAGAACGTAAATGATAGTTGGCATGGCCATTCAAGCATATGACTCCAAACTCGTATCCTCCCAACACGTGCTCTCTCTCCTTGGACCTACGGGTCCTGCTTCTTCTTTCTCTTGCCCCTGCTTCTCCTGCTCTTGTTCCTGCTCCTGCTCTTCCTCCTCTTCTTCCTCTTCCGCTTCCTCCTGCTCTTCCTAATCCTTACTCTTCCTTCTTCCTACTCTTCCTCTTGGTCTATCGCCTGGCAGCGGCTTTCTTCCCACTCTTCTCGTTTTCGTGCAACGGATTCCTGTGCTGGGATGGCTGCTGGATCAACCGTACATGCGTCAGGTGCGCCAAAATGCAGCGCTTCATTTATTCAGACAAACTGTATGCCAATTTTGCTGCTGTATGCAATTGGTGGGTGCCAGTTGATAGATTCTTGTGCGTGCTACACTCACAACTCAGTGTTCCCTGCTTGGTACTGTATCTTCGTTTTTGGCAGTTCTTGGGGAGGTTCAGGGATCATCTGCCTCCATAGACTTCTAAATGATATTACTAAGACTAGTTCTGGATAGAAAATGCTATTATGGGCGCCACTGATTGAGCCAAACTTGTGAGGGCATCTAGCAATGTGAAAAATCCCACCAGGTATGTTTGGACAGCCATATCTTTGGTGCTCAAATGGTGCCAATCACACAGCTAGCTTTTGCTAAAAACTATACATGTTTTGTGGCTGAATGGTACATTGGCACAAAATTTGTTTCTAAATAAATTTTATGGTTTTTCTAGTTTGTGCAAGTGAGCATCAGTAGCGAGACATACTGTATGACAATGTCGGCGCCCTTGTGCACAGCGCTCAGGCCTGACAAGCGTCTCGTCACCCAATCAGAACAGCTTTCGATCTTTCCAGTTTCCCGCCTTGGGGATCTCCCACCCCACCACCCCAGATGCTCGAGATCTTCGTATTTCTGCACGGATATCAGTTTCATTCTGGTGCGTTGCGTTCCAAAGCGGTGACGTGCAGCGACTGTGTAGAATCGTGAGGAACCCAGCAGAACCGCAACGCGTGAACAGACTCTGAATGGTACTCCCCTTTGTGAACAAACCAGTTCCATGATCCAAGTGAAGAACCATTCTTGCATTTCCGATAGTATTACAGTCAGTCTAGCAATCTTGAAGCAGCAATTTCAGGTCAAAACGGCCATAGCTGAACTGTCCTTGGCCATTTAATTAACGTTGAGCTAACAGGCTGTGTGGCTTTGGTGTCTGATCGCCATTAACAGCCGATTACAGAATCCCACAACTGAACACCATGAGGAGCTTACTCTTTCTCCTCCTCGCGCTGCTGCTCGTCGCACAGCCGTTCGCGAAGCAATCTTCGTTCCTTTCGCGAGCTCACGAAGTTGACGACGAGAGTTACTCGGTCGGCGACGATGAAGAGCCGTTAGAAGCCGACGACTCCGAAATCCCGGAAGGCGACGACGGCGACGTTGTCGCATTGACGGACGCGACTTTCCCACAAGCTCTTAAAGACAATAAGCATGTATTAGTCGAATTCTACGCGCCGTGGTGCGGCCACTGTAAGTCTCTCGCGCCGGAGTATAAGAGCGCAGCGGCGATTTTGAAGGAGTTCGGAGTGGTTCTGGCGAAAGTGGATGCGACCAAGTATGCGGATCTTAGCGAGAAATACAACGTGGAGGGTTTCCCTACGATTGTGTTCATCTCTGACGGAGAGTCGAAGCCGTTCAATGGCGGACGGACAAGGTAAGCAGCAGATTGCAGATCAGGGAAAGATCTGAGAACCGCAGAATCCGAGATGTTTCCATCCATTCCTTGTTTTCAATTCCGCTGTGTGGCGTAACATGGAATATTTCTTTACATCCTTTTATTCTCCAATTTTTCTCTTTCTTTCGCTCCCTCCCGGTTTTCACCCACCTGCAGCGCTGAAATCGTCTCACGGATAAAGATGAAAATCGGCATGACCTCTTTTGAATGAACACAAAACCTTTTTTTGTCTTTCCTTCCATCACTCTCGCTTCCTTCTCGCTCCCTCTCGGTTTTCACCCATCTGCAGTGCTGAGATCGTCTCATGGGTGAAGAAGAAGATCGGCATGGGGGTGGCCACCTTCAGTGCAGCAGACGGAAACGATTTTTTCTAACTTCTCTTTTCTGTACTATCTCTTTCTGACTCTCCATCTCCAGCGCTGAAATCGTCTCATGGGTGAAGAAGAAGATCGGCATGGGGGTGGCCACCTTCACTGCAGCCGACGTCGCCAAAGCGGCTCCTCTCATCGAATCCTCCGCGGCGGTTACCGTTGGCTTTTTCGCTTCTTCCGATGTAAGCCCGAATCGCGATTTCTCCAGCAGGCTGAACCGTTTGAGTGTGATTTTGTGTTTCGTGTTTCTGTGAAAAAACATTGCGTTTAACAAGTAAATTCTCAGGCTCCGGAGGCTGTTCAGTTTAACGAAGCGGCCAAGGAGACGGACGGCGTGGAGTTCGTGCTGACGAGTGACGCCGACTAAGTTGTTTTTTCTCAGCTGACGAGTGACGCCGACTAAGTTGTTTTTTCTCAACAATGCAATGTGTTTTGGATGTCTCAGGCACCTGAGGCTGTTGCGTATAACGAGGCGGTCAAGGAGACTGACGGCGTGGAGTTCGTGCTGACGAGTGACGCCGACTGAGTTGTTTTTTCTCAACAATGAAATGTGTTTTGGATGTCTCAGGCACCAGAGGCTGTTGCGTTTAACGAAGCAGCCAAGGAGACGGACGGCGTGGAGTTCGTGCGGACGAGTGACGCTGACTAAGTTGTTTTCTCTCGACAATGCGAAATGTGTTTTGGATGTCTCAGGCACCAGAGGCTGTTGCGTTTAACGAAGCAGCCAAGGAGACGGACGGCGTGGAGTTCGTGCTGACGACTGACGCCGACGTCGCTGCTGCGTTCGGCCTTGGCAAGGACAAGAAGCCCGCCGTTGCGAGTGTTAAGAAGGAAGAGGAGAAATTCGTCGTCTTCGGTACGCCGCTTTATCTGTCGTTCTAAGCGCCGTTCGTTTGAGAGTTTTCAAGATTGATACCAGTATTGCTCACTGCTAGTGACCCTGACATCGCGCTGTGATCCGTGCGGAATTTGCGTCTCCGTTTGATGGTCCTACTTCTCTCATTTCTCATCGTTAGCGCTGCCCTGCTCTCACGGACGCGTCCAGCTCATTGGTGGAGGCATATTCGCACTGCATCCGATTTTTGAGGCGCCTCAAAAGTCTTTGCCTGCTTTCACGCACGCGTCAAGCTCATTGGTGGAGGCATATTCGCACTGCATCCGCCCATTCCTCGTGCGGCCCTCCCCGGTTTTTGCCTGTGATCGTGGTGCAGACGGCGAGTATACCAAAGAGGCCATTGCCGCGTTTGTGACAGCCAACAAGCTGCCGCTGCTCATCACCTTTTCTGAGGAGACCTCGGCCAGCATCTTCGCAGGGGATATCAAGAAGCAGGTACGATGCGTGGTCTGGCATGCAAGAACTCTATCGTACGCCTTGGGAGGTGCAATCTGTATGTCTGTGTGTATCGCAGCCAACAAGCTGCCGCTGCTCATCACTTTCTCAGAGGAGACCTCAGCCAGCATCTTCGTAAGGGACATCAAGAAGCAGGTATTCTGTGTGGTAAGGCACATCCGAACTATATGTAACGCGTTGGCAGGTGTGTGGTATGCATGCATGGCTTATGACAAGCTGCCGCTGCTCATCACCTTTTTCGAGGAGACCTCGGCCAGCATCTTCGCTGGCGACATCAAGAAGCAGGTACGATGTGAGCTTTGGTACGCGATCAATATGTCTATGGTACGCCCTGGGAGGTGCGATCTGTATGGTACGCCTTTTCACAGGTGTTGCTGTTCGCTCCTCACGAGGAATACCTCAAGGTCGTGCCAGCCGTGGCTGCAGCAGCGAATGTGATCTCTTCTCCACACTCCCATTCTCCACACTCCCATTCTCCACACTCCCATTCTCCACACTCCCTTTCTCCACACTCCCTTTCTCCCCCCTCCTCTTTGTCACAGGCGATGCTGTTCTCTCCTCACGAGGAGTACCTCAAGATCGTGCCAGCCGTGGCTGCCCTCTCTTGCCGGCTTTCCTCACACTCCTTTCTATCATTTCCGTTCCTCCCCAACTCCCTTCCTCCCCGCTCGCCCTCTCTCAGGTGATGCTGTTCGCCCCACACGAGGAGTGCCTCAAGATCGAGCCGGCCATGGCGGCAGCTGCGAAAGGCATACGTGGACGGCCCTTTCCTCACACACTTCCTCCCATTTGCTCACTCACTCGCTCTCTCTCAGGTGATGCTGTTCGCCCCGTATGAGGACTACCTCAAGGTCAAGCCGCCCGTGGCGGCAGCAGCGAAGCAGTTCAAGGGCGAGTTGGTGTTTGTGTTCGCCTGCTCTCCCACTGTGTAGTGTGGTTCGGTGCGGTGCAGTGCAGTGTGGTGGCAGGTCAAGAGCGAGCTGGTGTTTGTGTTCGCCCTCGTCCTCCCTCCCCCTCCGCCCTTCTCTCAGGTGATGCTGTTCGCCCCACATGAGGACTACCTCAAGATCGAGCCGGTCGTGGCGGCTTTGAGCAGCATCTGTGAGCGGCTTTTCTAACAACCTTGTAACGTTTATCTCCCTCGCCCCCCTTCGCTCTCTCAGGTGATGCTGTTCGCCCCGCATGAAGACTACCTCAAGATTGAGCCGGCCATGGCTCCCCTCCCTCCCTCACACTCCCCCAACTCCCTTCCTCCCCGCTCCCCCGCTCCCAGGTGATGCTGTTTGCTCCGCACGAGGACTACCTCAAGATCGAGCCGGCCGTGGCGGCAGCAGCGAAGCAGTTCAACGGCATACGTGGACGGCCCTTTCCTCACACACTTCCTCCCACTTGCTCACTCACTCGCTCTCTCAGGTGATCCTGTTCGCGCCTCACGAGGACTACCTCACGATCGAGCCGGCCGTGGCTGCCCTGTCTTGCATGCTTCCCTCACATTCACTTCCTCCCCAACTCCCTCTATCCCCCCTCTTCTTGTCGCAGGTGATGCTGTTCGCCCCGCACGAGGACTACCTCAAGGTCGAGCCGGCCGTGGCGGCAGCAGCGAAGCAGTTCAAGGGCGAGCTGGTGTTTGTGTTTGTCAACGGGTCGGACTCGGAGTCGCAGCCAGTGCACGAGTACTTCGGCACGGACCCCAAGGAGACCTCGGTGAGTGCAGTGCGGTGCAGTGTGGTTCAACGCGTAGGGTGCTGGTGACTGGTAGGGGTGCAGCAGCGAAGCAGTTCAAGGGCGAGCTGGTGTTTGTGTTTGTCAACGGGTCGGACTCGGAGTCGCAGCCAGTGCACGAGTACTTCGGCAATGGACCCCAAGGAGACCTCGGTGAGTGCAGTGCGGTGCAGAACAGTGGCAGTGCAGAGATTTGTGGTGCGGATCAGTGATGCGCAGTGCAGTGCAGTGCGGGCCAGAGAAATGCAGTGCAGTTTAGTGCAGTGCAGTGCAGATCAATGCGGTGCAGAGCACGCAGAGCAATGCGTTGCAGAGCAGTGCAAAATATTGCAGTGCAGAGCAGTGCGGACAGTGTTCATAATGCCATTTTTCGCTTGCGCTCCCTCTCTCTTGTCTCCGCCTTTTGACCCCGTGACTGCTCTGCAGGTGATGGGCTTCTTTATGGGGGATGAAGAGGACCCCGCGTCCACAGCTGGGGGGCTCAAGTACCGCATGAAGGAGGCGATCACTGAGGCCAGCATCAAGGTGAGGACGCATGAAGGAAACATGTGGTCGCCAGCAAAGGGCACACGGCATGTGCTGTCAAAAGCTCCTCGTCCACAGCTGGGGGGCTCAAGTACCGCATGAAGGAGGCGTTTACTGAGGCCAGCATGAAGGTGCGTGGATTATTGGTGGGAATGGGCCCAACAATAAGAGAGCGTCGGAGCCAATAATAATCGAATCAGCCCAGGAACAAAATATATTTTACCTTGCTCAGCTCGTCTTGGAAGTTGATCCTGTAACCAAACCATCAACCTGGAACAATTCTCTCTCGAACCCCGTGAACGGACCGTGTTTTCTGTGCAATCCACCTGCCCCCTTGCACCCGCTCCAGGCATTCGCCAAGAGCTTCATCGATGGAGATCAGTTTTGAGGCGCCTATAATTCAGAAAAGGAGCGCCACAAAGGCCCGTGAACAGACCATTTAACCTGTACATTTCTCCCCCTCCCTTGCAATTTCCCCAGGAATTCGCCAAGAGCTTCATTGCTGGGGATCTGAAGCCCTTTTACAAGTCCGAGCCTGCTCCTGAGAAGGTGAGTGTGGAACACTAGAGGCTTATGAGGTGACACCTGCTGGATTCCAAGCTGCAGTTTGTGACAGGGGACTGAATTACGAGGATCGGGATCTGAAGCCCTTTTACAAGTCCGAGCCTGCTCCAGGGAAGGTCAGTCAGCGAGGTCCGGCGAGGCATGAACTGCAGGGCTGACAGGGTTTCAGTTCGGGTGCACTGTGCAACGTAAACCAGAACCTGGATCGGAACGGGGATCAGAGATGTTTTAGAGGGTTCTCAAGCCTGACACATATGCGTACTTATCGGTGCGACTTTTGAGAATTCTCAAAAGATCTCCCTATCCCACTATCCCGTTGCCCCCCCGTTTCTCTCTCCCCCTGTCTCTCACAACGACGGCCCTGTGACTGTGGTGGTGGGCGATACTTTCGAGGAGATTGTGCTGGACGAGACGAGAGCAAGGAGCCTCGTAGTGCTTCCCTTTTCCCACATCCATCTGTCTTCCTCTGTTTCTGTTACCCTCCTCACCAGAACGACGGTCCAGTGACTGTGGTGGTGGGCGATACTTTCGAGGAGATTGTGCTGGACGAGAGCAAGGACGTGCTGGTGGAGGTGAGAGGGGGGTAGGGGAGGAGGACGAGGAGTGTTGGCTGTTGGGTATCCAGCAAGCTGGTGGTGGGCAACACGTTTAGGAGATTGTGCTGGACGAGAGCAAGGACGTGCTGGTGGAGGTGAGGGGGGGGCCGATGGTGGGAAGGTGATGGTTGGGTGGGTGGTGGTAGGTGACTCGCTGAGAACGTTGTGCTGGACGAGAGCAAGGACGTGCTGCTGGAGGTGAGAGAGGCGGTGGGAGGAAGCGAGGGGGAAGGGGGGGAGGTAAGAGCAGTATTGGTTGTTGGGTGGTGGTGGGCGATGCTTTCGAGAAGATTGTGCTGGACGAGAGTGAAGACGTGCTGCTGGAGGTGAGAGGCGGGCGGTGGTGGGACCAGCTCTTCACGCTGCTGCTCTTCTTCATGACCAGTGACCAGCAAGGACGTGCTGCTGGCGGTGAGAGGGGGGTCCATGAGAGGTGTACTAGGCAGTGGGAGGGGCGGAATGGGTGGTCGGTGGGAGGCACATTTGAGAAGGCTGTGCTGGACGAGTCCAAAGACTCGCTGCTGGAGGTGAGAGGGTGTGTGGAAGTGAGAGGGGGTGTGGAAGTGAGAGGGGGTGTGGAAGTGAGAGGGTGTGTGGAAGTGAGAGGGTGTGTGGAAGTGAGAGGGGGTGTGGAGGTGAGAGGGTGTGTGGAAGTGAGAGGGTGTGTGTAAGTGAGAGGGTGTGTGTAAGTGAGAGGGGGTGTGGAAGTGAGAGGGGGTGTGGAAGTGAGAGGGGGTGTGGAAGTGAGAGGGGGTGTGGAAGTGAGAGGGGGTGTGGGTGGAATGTGTCTCGAAATGGTATGGCAGGTTCTTGGAGATTTTCTCACTTCCATCAAGACCCCACTCACTTCCATCAACACCCCTCTCACTTCCATCAACACCCCTCTCAATTATCGTTTATTTCTTCTATTCCTCTTCCCCTGGATACGTGATAGGTCTACGCCCCCTGGTGCGGCCACTGCAAGTCTCTCGAGCCCACCTACAAAAACCCTGAGACTTGCCACCCACTCATTATGTCCCTCCTTCTGCTATCCCCCTCTGTTTGCCTTCAGGTGTACGCCCCCTGGTGCGGCCACTGCAAGTCGCTCGAGCCCACCTACAAGAAGCTGGGGAAGCGATTCGCGTCGGTGGACTCTGTTGTGATTGCCAAGATGGACGGCACGGCCAACGAGTACCCTGGGCTGGAGGTAAGTGTATGTGGAGTCTGTGTGCCCAAGGGTGGGATATGCGTGTGTACCATGTGAGTGGGTCAGCTAGCTAGTCATGTGCGTCGGTGGACTCAGTTGTGATCGCCAAGATGGACGGCACGGCCAACGAGTACCCTGGGCTCGAGGTGAGTACACAGGTTTATATGAGGCTGGCTACTCATAAGCCATGCGTGCCGGTGGACTCTGTTGTGATCGCCAAGATGGACGGCACTGCCACCGAGTACCCTGGGCTGGAGGTGCTTGGAAAAGGACATACGAAACACTCTGTTTTTTCTTTTTTCTGCCTTCGCACTTTGTGTCACCTACTTTCTCACCCCCTCTGCCTATGTGTCACTCCCTCCGGCCACATTACATCCTCTCTGTCCTTCTGTCTTCGTGTCCTAAATTCTGCCCATGTGTCGCCCTCTCTGCCTTTCTCTCACCATCTCTGCCTACATGTCACTCTGTGCCTATGTCTCACCCCCCCTCTGCCCACGTGTCACCCTCTCTAAATGCAGGTTGAGGGCTTCCCAACCATCTTCTTCTATCCGGCAAAAAAGAAATCCGACCCAGTAAGCCCACTCTTTCGGAACCTCCCCCCCCTTCCCCTCGCTTTCACAATCTCCCTCTTTCCCCTTTCACAATCTCTCACGTTCCCCTTTCACAATCTCCCTCTTTCCCCTTTCACAATCTCCCTCTTTCCCAACTATACAAGTATCTTCCTCTACCCATCTACCCAGCCACCAAAAATTCTCGTCTCAGTCAGCCCGCCCACCCCCTCTCCCTCCCTCTTCCTCCTAGCACTCTCAACCCCTCCCCCTGTTCCTCTTTCCCACCTATCTTCTTCTCTCAGACAGCAAGACATCCGACCCAGTAAGCCCGTGTTCTCAAACCTCCCCCCCCCCCCCCACCCACTACCCCCGCCCCTCCCCCCCCCCCCCCCTCCTCCTCCTTCTCCTAGTGCTCTCAAACCTGGCAATCAAGTTTGCCTTCAACTCATGCTTTCTTTGCTTCCCTGCTCTGCTTGGAAACACAGGTGAAAGTGCAAGCCACGAAGCTGAAGCAGTTCATCAAGGTGATTGTTGAGAACGCTGGAATGCAGGAATTCACTTGGACCGCCTCCTCCCCTGCTCTCTCTCCCCCCCCTTTTTCCTGCCTACTTTCCTTCAATTCAGGTGAAAGTGCAAGCCACGAAGCTGAAGCAGTTCATCAAGGTGATTGTTGAGAACGCTGCAATCAAGTTTGAACTGCCCGCCAAGGAGAAGGAATCAGCAGCAGCAGCTGACGCAGAGGCAACTACTGATGCTCCTGGGGAAGATGTGAAGGACGAGCTATGAGAACGCTGCAATCAAGTTTGAACTTCTGGCCAAGGACAAGGATTCAGGAGCAGCAACTGAGGTTGAGGGGGCTGCCTAGGCAGCTGGGGAAGAAATGAAGGATGAGCTATGAGCTAGAAGCAATGAGCTGTCTGATATGAGTTGTATGAGCACTAAGCCGTGATCTACACTTGGTGAGAGGTTGGTTGGAAAACAACAACCTGAGGCAATCTACTGGCACTTTTTTACCAGAAGTGTATCAAGGCTGCCGGGATGCACTGTTTCAGAAGAAAACGTTCCAACAAAAACGATATGTGAACAAAATTTGTAGCAGATGCCCGACTAGACAGTTGGGCGACTACAATTGTAAGGAATTTTCCCGAATTCCTTATCGGGGTTGACTGTTTCGCGTACAACCCGATTTTCGGAGTTCGCGCGTTCGGCCGATTTCAACGCTGCCGAGGCTACTCACGTCGCCTTCGGCTTTCCCATCGCCAAACCTGCACCCAACCTCGCTCGTCCGAGGTTTCCTCCTAGCTAGAGTAGTCCTACATTAGTCTATGCATTCATTGTGTTCGCAGTTGATTCAGTCACAGCTTCATTATTCGTTTACCTGCGCACTCTCTTTTACAACTCATAACACCTGGTATCAGAGCTACTTTCCTAGTTCACCCCGCTTTTCCGAGGGTAGTTTGGTGGCATAGGGTGTGGCTGGTTTAGTGACTACACGACGGTTGGCTGCGGGGATTGTTAATTCAATCCTGCCCGACTCCGTTAGTTCGTGTTTTCATTTGCCTAAAGGCCACGGAGACCCGATTGCCCACCAAAGGTAGCGTTAGGCATATGGGTTAGGAAGCGGTCAACAGGATGATGGCGCAAGTGGCAGAAATGCAGGAAAGAATGAAGACGTTAATGGCGGAAGTGACGACACTACGAGAGGAAAACGCCGAACTACGCCAGACGCGAGGTGAAGCACGTCAGGAGTCGCCTGTGGACGAAGGCGAGGGCAACAGTCAGGCGATGAGCAATCCATTGGATGCGCTCACACGTGACTTCGAAGAGGAGGATAGGCAGCGAGCGGCAGCAGCTCCAGTTGCGGTGACAACGATCAACATCAAGCCCGTCAATCCACCCCCGTTTAATCCTACGGACAAGACGGTTACGGTAAAAGGGTGGTTGTTCGGGGTCGAAGTCTTTTTTACTGCAGCCGGAGATAATGACGACGCCACGCGTATTAATTACGCAGTTTCGCTTCTTCGAGGTGCAGCGCTTGAGTGGTGGCGCCGAACCTTGGAAACACGGATGCCGACAGGTGTGACACATGCGGCAGACGGGACCTCTACAGTGACTAATCAAGTGGCAACGTCGATCTTCGGAGTGACCACGATACGCACGTGGAAGGAGTGGGGCGCAGCCTTACGAGGTCGCTTCGAGCACGTATCCGCCTCGGAGCAAGCTCGCATGAAGCTGCGTGCATGGTCGCAGATGGCTTCTGTCCAAGACTACACGGCGTCATTTATGAGCCTCGACGACCAAGTCGATGACATGTCGGAAGCTAAACGGCTGGATAAATACATCAGCGGCCTCAAATACGAGATACAGTACGAGGTTCGCAGGGGCCGTCCGACGTCATTTCTTGCAGCAGTACAGTTGGCGGAGTCCACAGATGCGCTGATGCAGTACGCGAGAGCAGCTTCCCGGGAGGGAAACCGTTTTCGTGGCCAGACCCATCGGACCACGATCAACGCCGTCCATACACCCGACCGCCCTCCTAAGGGACCGTGTTTCCGGTGTGGGAAGATGGGTCACTACATGAAAGATTGCCACGAGAAAACGCCACTGACGGGGAACGACAGGAAGGAGCAGGGAAATGGGAAGAGTCAGTAATTAGCGGGCCCTTTACTGACTGTGCTCCGTCGCCCGAACCCCACCATCCCCACCGAATCGTGGTTCCGATTCATGCAATCGATCGCACTCGGCCGAATAACGGTGATAATCACGTGGATCACCCTGTGCTGGTCGCTGGTAAGGTGTTAAAAAATAACCTGAAAATGTTCGTCGATGGAGGGGCCAATCATAGCCTCTTCAATTTGGCGAGCGCAAAAAAATGCAAGCTGCAACTTGACAGGTGTCTGCCCGAAGTCGACGCTCGCCTCGTGGACGGGACGCCTCAGGCGATAACGGAAGAAACACGGACGGTCAGGATCGAATGCGGCGACGATTTCGGCTTCAGCATGAAGTTCCTCGCGACAACATTGGACGGCTGCGACGTACTGCTGGGACGCGATTGGCTGCGACGGCACAACCCCGTCATCGACTGGACAACGGGGACGTGCAGCATCAACAAGCACGAGGGGCTAATTAAGCTCCCTACATGGACCCCTGACTACATCCAAGCCCCGTGCGTCAAAGCCATCACTATAGCTCGCCACTTCAACAGGGGCGCGCAGCTGTTCGCCGTTTGTTTACGCGAGTTGGCAGTCGACACCGAAGGAAAAGACATCGAGAAGTTGTGTGCAGCTGTACCCCCGGATTTGGCGGAGCTGATTCGGAGGTACCCAGAAATCTTCCCCGACGATCTGCCACCTGGACTGCCACCGGAGAGAACTGAGGACCACAAAATCCAGCTAGAACCTGGAGCGCAACCAACCGTTCGGACACAGTGGCGGTTGACCCAGCCGGAACTCGAGGAGCTGCGACGACAAATCGACGCACTGTTAGAAAAAGGGTTCATTCGGGCCAGCACATCTCCTTTCGCAGCACCGATTCTGTTCACTCCGAAGAAAGACGGCGGGCTTCGCACGTGTATCGACTATCGCTCGCTGAACAGGGTCACCATCAAGTCTCGCTACCCAATCCCACGAACCGACGACCTCCTCGACCAACTTCGTGGCGCTCGCTATTTCTCGAAAATTGACTTACGTGGCGGTTACCATCAAATTCGAGTCTTCGCCGACGATTGTCACAAGACTGCGTTTCGTACACGCTACGGGAGTTACGAATTCACAGTGATGCCTTTCGGCCTCACGAACGCGCCCTCAACTTTTCAACTGACCATGAACAGGGTTTTTCGGGATCTTCTAGACCTGTGCGTTATCGTCTACTTAGACGATATCCTCATTTTTAGCAAGACAAGGGAGCAGCACCTCCGTGACCTGGACGCAGTGTTTAAGCGGCTGCAGGAGAATCGACTCATCACCAAGGGCTCTAAGTGCGAGTTTTTTAAGCAGGAGTTGGAGTTTTTGGGGCACGTCATCTCGCGCGACGGCATTAAAATCGACCCGGCGAAAATCAAGACCATACAGGAGTGGAAGTCCCCGACGAACGTCACGGAGCTCCAGAGTTTCCTCGGATTTGTAAATTACGTCAGGAGGTTTATCCCGAATATGGCGGGGATAACCGGCCCGCTGACCGACCTGCTGCACAAGGACAAGAATTTTGTGGGGGGGGAGGAGGCAGAAGCGGCGTTCCAGGAACTCAAGAATTTTCTCGTGTCCCCTCCTGTGCTGCGCATCGCCGACCCATCGAAGCCGTTCGAAGTTGTAACCGACGCCTCAGATTTCGCCATCGGAGCTGTGCTCCTCCAAGATTTCGGGAACGGGTTGCAGCCGATAGCCTACGAATCACGCAAGCTGCAGGCAACCGAACGCAACTACCCGATCCACGACAAGGAGATGCTCGCCATTATACACGCATTTAAACTATGGCGATACTACCTGGTGGGCGCCGACGTCACTGTTCGCACGTACCACAAATCCCTACAGTACCTGCGAGCCCAACCCAACCTCAACCCACGACAGATTCGATGGCTCGACTACATGGAGAGCCATTTCACCTACCGCATCACGTACAAAAAAGGGGTTAATAACATCGCCGACGCCCTGACCCGACCGACAGTACAATCCGCTGCAGTACTCATCACCCACTCGAACCCGCTACTTACCGGACTATTCACCCACGGCTATACGACAGACGCCTTCTTCACAACGAGAAACCATCAGTAGACTACGACGCAGAAAGGGGACTATTACCTAAAAGCCGGAACCGATCGGATTTGGGTTCCCGCTTACCGTCTGCTGCGTGAGCTTCTCATCCAGGAGATACATGATTCAAACCTCTCCGGACATTTCGGGGTCGATAAGACACAGAAACTACTGCACCGTCACTATTACTGGCCTGATTCCTCTAATGACGTGCAGCGCTATGTGTCCTCATGCAGGGTGTGCCAAGCAATGAAGTCGACACGTCAGCGACCAGCTGGATTGCTGCAACCCCTCGAGCCACCCGAACGACCGTGGCAACAAGTGACGATGGATTTTGTCACGGGGATGCCAGCTGGGCCGACAGGCAACGACGCTGTTCTCGTCGTCGTCGACCACTTCACGAAAATGGCGCACTTCGCACCATGCCGAACGACAATCACAGCCGAAGAAACTGCGCGACTTTTCATATCGACGGTCGTGCGACTGCACGGCATCCCTTCAGCGATCATCATCGACCGCGACCCAAAATTCACATCCAAATTCTGGAAGGAAACATGGGCGCAATACGGCACGAAGCTACAGTTCTCATCGGCTTACCACCCGCAGACCGACGGTCAAACAGAGCGGACCAACCAGACCATGGAGCAGTTCATCAGGACAAACTGCCCTGATCCTGCCCGCTGGGAAGACTCGCTCGCAATGCTGGAATTCGCTTTCAACAACGCACCATCCAGCACGACTAATCACTCCCCATTCTTCCTGAATTATGGGATGGACCCGGCGGTTTCGACGACAACTACACTCGACAATCCGGTCCCGCGTTCCCAGACTTTCGTGACGGAACTCCAGGAAGTCCGCAAAAAAGCCGCCGACGCAATTCGCAAAGCGAATATTACTTCCCGCAAATACACCAACCTTCTTCGCCGGGAACTCGTATTGACTACTGGGCAATTAGTCCTCCTCGACACAAAAAACCTGAACCTGCCCGGCCCTGCGAAACTTCGGCCACGATTTTGCGGACCGTTCAAAATCCTCAAGATGGTGACACCTGTCACCGCGAAGCTGTTGCTACCCGACGATTGGCGTATACATGACGCGTTCCACATCAGCCTTCTTCGGAAGTTCGTGCCTACCACGACCGACATCGCACGTCAGCAAGCGGCCCCGACAGCTCGCCCCGTCCCGGAGCCAACACTTGACCCTTCCAAGATTCTCGCTCATCGAATCCGCCTTGACGCCGCTGGACGCCACGTGGATTTCTTAATTCGCTGGACCGACCGCACCAATGAGGACGACACGTGGGTGCCATCCGCTTCAATGGACGCCTCGACACTTGTTGGTGATTATCTGGCCCGACGGCGTGTTTCGGCCATTGACTATCTTGCTTAAAGGGGGGGGGGGGGGGGGGGTGGTGTAAGGAATTTTCCCGAATTCCTTATCGGGGTTGACTGCTTCGCGTACAACCCGATTTTCGGAGTTCGCACGTTCGGCCGATTTCAACGCTGCCGAGGCTACTCACGTCGCCTTCGGCTTTCCCATCGCCAAACCTGCAACCAACCTCGCTCGTCCGAGGTTTCCTCCTAGCTAGAGTAGTCCTACATTAGTCAGTGCATTCATTGTATTCGCAGTTGATTCAGTCACAGCTTCGTTATTCGTTTACCTGCGCACTCTCTTTTACAACTCATAACAACAATGATGATTCGACTTAGTGAATGTGAAATGCTTTATGAAAAAACTGCGAGTCTCCTCAGCAAGGCAATTGAGCGGAGAATAAGGTGAAACTGAAAGCTGAAATAATGTTTAGTACGCGCTACAGTGTTCGGGAATAAAATCACTCTAAACCAGCAGATCGTTTCAAGCGAAAACACTACTGGCTAAACGCCTATAACGTCCAGAGGAGGACGTACGCTGTTAAGTACTAGATCAGTATCAACTGCGAAGCACGAATCCGCCGAAAGCGGCGGAAGGGCACGCATCTCCGATTATTTGCGCGTCGCGGCGAGGCAGGCGGCGGCTGTTCTCTGTAACGAAACGCCGTTACCGTTTACAGAACAGTGCCCTGGAGCGTGGTGGGGAACGCAACAGCATCGGTGGTGTGAACGACGAGCTTGCCGGGCTTGAGGTAGAAGTTGAGCTTGGTGATCGCCATCGTGCTGCCCTTCTTTCCCTGCAGCACCACCTGCCCCTTCTTGTTGTTCTCCTGCTTCTGCAGCGTCATTGGCTTCCCCGCCTTGGTGCTCGCGAGAGTCGTGATGTTGCTGCCCACGGGCAGGGTCTTGAGCGCATCGGCGGGAATGACCTTCTTGAAGGCCGAGAATCCGACGACCACCATCAGCTCCGTTGACTTGTACTTGGTGATCTGCAGCTTGCTGATCGCCGCGTTCGACGGCACCAGCATGGTGAGCGGCTTTGAGAGAGCATCCTTGACCTGTTTCATCTTGCCTGTTGGGAGGGAGAGACGTGCGGGTGGGATAGAGAGGGGGAGAATATGAGCGACGAGGAAGGAGAATTGAGTTGTGACGAGACGCTTTGTAACGTATTGAAACCAGAAATCAAAGCAATGTGAAGTCGGTAACTCAGCCACGAAGCTCGTGGCTCGTCGCGGTGCTTTGCGGTTCGTACCGTAGGCGTTGACGAGGGAGACGAAGCTGGTGTAACCCGAGTTGTTGAGCTTCTGGATGGCCTCGTCGAACGGCGTCATTGGCGCCTTCCCCGCAGGTGGAGATGGTGCTCCGACGGCAGTCTTTCCGGGAGTTGTCTTGGGCGAAGTTGTTGTTTTGGGCGCGGGTGATTGAGCCGAGCAGACTACGGCGAGGCCAATGAGTGCTAGCAGCAGAAGGGCGGATTGAGAACTCGCCATGGCTGAGAGAGATGGTGAGGAAAATGGATCCGCTTAGCGATGTCGAGTTCAACTCGTATCTGTAGCTGCTTGCAAACTGAGTTGATCAAGGGGTGATGCTTGATGAGGAATGACGTAAGATTTCGAGCTTATAATCCAATCGGAACTCGAGTGTTTGAAAAAATTCGGGTGTCGCGTCGCGTCTCGGGTGCTGGTGAAGTTTCGGCTTCCGACGAACCCACGCAACTCAGCGTTGAACGCGGCGGCGATAACGGCTCCCGCAATCAAGTCAAGCTCGATCGAAGGCGAACGAAACCATTCACTGCAGTGCGACTCGAAGCGACTGCGCGCGACTGTGATGCCCATGATCAGGGATTCTCTTTTGACAGCAAGTCGTGGGCGACGTGTCTGAACAGATCAGGGATCCACTTGCCGTAACGCTATTCGCCCACCCCAGACCAGAAGCACATCACACTTCTCGCGAAGGGAAAAGAACATACAAGGGCCGAACAGTACCAGAGCGGTGATCGACCAGGGGCCGAGAGGCCCGGAAATTACCAAACCGCTGTGCGAGGAGGAATTAACAGAGGGTCCTTGTTTATTGCACGTAATTCTGCTACTAGTGGCATGTACCGGCTCGCATTTTCGCTCACGTGTCGTTTAGCGAGCCGACTAGGGCAGCCAAACAAAACTAAAACTCATAGGGAACCTGGATGCAATTGCGGGAAGGATCAACCCTTGAAAAGGAGACCTTCCTGGGATTTCGGGTTGATGCCTCCCGAGTCGCGTCCGTTTCCGAATGAGTAATAATTTATTTCCAGTGGTTTCTGATCGGGTAGGTGATATGTATCACCCAGAATATATTATGTTATTACGTACTCACGATTTGACAAGCAGATTTCCAATGCAAGAAAAAGGCGAAATGCACGTTGTAGTAGATGGCGGTAAAAACCCTTACAAAAGAAAATGAACACAAATTTGGGTTAATGTAAGCAATTTTTTTTTTAATGGTTCAGCTTGTTCGCCGAGTCGTTTGGTCAGCTTCGGGTTGAAATCCTACGGTCAAGATTTATCGGTCCTACTCTGAACATACCTCTGGCACTGCTCGGCCCCTATATGATCTTCTCCCTTTTGCGAAAGCACTGGCGATCAGACCGTTGAGGGCAACGTCAGGTTATACATTTCACATGCCCTTACAGTTCCTGTATCGTGGTTCAGAACGGTTCAACACGTTGAAAGGCGGTTCTAGATTATTACCGCTCTTCACCGTGTCGAAACAAAATTTACCGGAGAGGAGTACAAAAAGTTGTACAACCTGACGTCGCCCTGAGTTGTCGAATATCGTGGATTCGACACCGAAACCAGTAGGCGATTGGTTACAGTAGATCTAATATGTCCTCGACATAAGATTCACTGGCTACAATTTCTTAAAACTGTTATATATGTTCTGACACCAAACGCCAAGTCGCAAATTCAAATTTACATCGCACACCGACAGTCCATTGCCTGTCGGCAGGTGTGAGCTGCGTCGCTCGATCGCAGCATCCGCTCCAGGCTATCGCAAAACCGACAGCGTCTCGATTTGACGAGGGAAGGAGGGAAATGAATTCCGACGCCACCGTCCAAGCCCACGTCGCAAGGCTTACATGCGAGCAAATAATTTATTGCGTGAATTCCATTCAAGTGCTCTGATTGGTCGTGTGCAAGTCTGACTGTGCGCATCGCATCCTTCCCTACAAAAAAGGGAGAGTAAATGTTAGCTCCATAGTTTATGAATTATTTTAAAATTACTCCTTAGTTAAGTCCAACAGTCCAGCTTTGTGGAATTTTGCTCACGCGAGGCTCAAATTACGTTCTGAACAGGTTTTGCAGGGCTCAAATCTCGACACGTTTCCATTTCGCACAAAGAATTTCTTGACGGGCCAAACAAACATAATACCCCTAGCGAAACCAGGACACTTCTAGGGAGGGATCAACCCTAAACACGGGAACCCGCCCGGTGTTTAGGGTTGATCCCTTCCGAAATGTGCCCCGTCTCCCTTGGGGTATTATGTTTTGTCTACCCTGCTAATAAAATATCGGTGCGAAATAGACACGTGTCGTAATTCTGGCCCCACAGGACCAGTTTTGAACATAATCTGGTCCTCCCGTGAACAAAATTCCACAAAGCTGGACTTTTTAGGTAAACTTGATAGTTAATTAAAAATATTTTTGAAACTAAGAGCCTGGCATGTACTCTCCCTACAGAAAATGCCCCGCGCAAAACCCGAAGGGCCGTTATTTGTAGACAAAATTTTCCGAAGCGTGCCCTAACCAATCGCTTTGCCAGCGTGCAACCACGTTCCCGAGGCGCGCTGCCCGAAGCTTAGCAAACGTTCCTGAAATTCCTCAGATAATCACTGATGTTGAATGCGAGACTCGGAGGTACAAATTCAGGCATTCCACTTCGATCATCATCACCACACCAACTCACGTTCCTCTGCTCCTCTTTCACATTATCTTATCCGCAATTCCTCCACTCAACACTACAAAGCACACAGTTGATAGCCCTTGCATTGTTCAATCGGTCTTCTTCTCTCGCCATATCCTTCTGAGTCATCCTTCTTTCCGCAATCATGGCCGTTTCTCGATCCGCTCTTCTCCTCCTAGCTCTCGTGAGCTTGGCCGTTGTCTGTTCGGCTCAATCACCCGCGCCCAAAACAACAACTTCGCCCAAGACAACTCCCGGAAAGACCGTTGGAGCACCATCTCCGCCTGCGGGGAAGGCGTCAATGACGCCGTTCGATGAGGCCATCAAAAAGCTCAACGATTCGGGTTACACCAGCTTCGTCTCGCTCGTTAACGCCTACGGTACGAATCGCGAAGACCCGCTACGAGCGACGAGCTTCGTGGCTGAATTTCCGTTCACATTGCTTCATTTTTCGATTTTGTCTGTTCCAAAGCGTCTCATTGTGTCTCACAATTCCTCCAATCAAAATCTTAATCCCCCCCCCCCCCCCCCCCTCGTCGCTCATATTCTCCCCCTCTCTATCCCACCGGCGCGTCTCATCCTCCCAACAGGCAAGATGAAACAGGTCAAGGATGCTCTCTCAAAGCCGCTCACCATGCTGGTGCCGTCGAACGCGGCGATCAGCAAGCTGCAGATCACCAAGTACAAGTCAACGGAGCTGATGGTGGTCGTCGGATTCTCGGCCTTCAAGAAGGTCATTCCCGCCGATGCGCTCAAGACCCTGCCCGTGGGCAGCAACATCACGACTCTCGCGAGCACCAAGGCGGGGAAGCCAATGACGCTTCAGAAGCAGGCGAACAACAAGAAGGGGCAGGTGGTGCTGCAGGGAAAGAAGGGCAGCACGATGGCGATCACCAAGCTTAACTTCTACCTCAAGCCCGGCAAGCTCGTCGTTCACACCACCGACGCCGTCGCCTTCCCCACCACGCTCCAGGGCACCGTGCTGTAAACGGCATCGTCGCTTCGTCGCGGAGAACAGCAGCGGCCTGCCGCGCCGCAGCGTGTGAATTAATGGAGACGCGTTCGCTCCCACCATTTTTGGTAAAATAATGCTTCCCAGCTTATACTGATCTCTAGGATTACTTGCAGCGTACGTCCTCCTCTGGACGTACTCAGCGGAATAGTAGACACTTCTGCTTAGCCAGTAGTGTGTTTTAGCTTGAAACGATCTGCTGGAGGTGCTTTAGGTTATCAAACCGAAGACTGTAAAGACACTTCTCAATATAATTACTTGTTTTTTCAAAATTCTGGTCCCGGGCATTTCTGGGACCAAGAGAGAGGACATGTCATATGGATGGGTCTCGTGAGCTAATCACCACACAGCTGCGTGGTTTGAGGGGGTCAGCATAATAATGTGCAAAACCTTCAGGAGGCTGAGCTATTGAATCATCAGTTCAGCAGAAGAAATGGGGGATTCTGCTCCGCCCCCTCCCTCTCTAATGGTCCCAGTCAGTGAGGCAGGGTAGCAGGTGGAACTGGTGTGGGTTTTTCAATGGCGATTCGCGAATCTTGTACACCCAATCACAGACCCCACTCAAGCTTACGAACGCCGCCGCAGCCAAATTCGATTTCGAGGACCTTTGGTTACCGCATCAAGTTCTGCGCCAGCCAAGTTCTCGCCAAATCCTCCACATTTTACTCCCAGGAGAGAGAGAGAGATCCGCCACAAGATTGAATTCACTACAAAAACATCACAGTTGTGAGCCAGCAACTTGATTTAGTTCTATACAATAAATCACACGTCCATGCAAAACCCATAGCTGTCACACTTGACGGCTGATCTGGACCTAGGAAATGTCTTTCCTAGCGCTCCTCCCTCAATAAATAATGTTCCAGAGTCACCCTCGTGTAGCACCTCATAGGTATCTGCAGATTCACCTGAACCTGAGATTCCCAGCTGATATGCAGCTTCCATTTCAGAGCTCACTATCACCCTCTCCAAAGAAGCGCCTTCAAACTTCCCACTGTAGCTCGCACCCATCCAATAAGCAGCTCTTCTCTGCGGGTCATCCATCCCCCTTATAAGCTTCCTCTCCGCCTTAGTAACTACCTCGGAGGAGAATCGGCAGGACTGGGATCGGAGTGAGCGAGAAGAAGCGTTCCGGGCGGATTGCGGCGGGCCTATGGGTTGCAATTGCAGCACAGGTTGGGTCTGGGGAAGGAGCGGGTCGCTCAGGTCGAACCGACGCATTGGAACAGTGAGGAGTGCATTATCCGCGTCGGGCAGAAGTAACCGCGACGGCCGTCGATTCAACAGATTCTGATGGGACAACACCCCCCCTAGCTGCTGCTGAGAAGAATCCTCACTTGCAACTGATGAGTTGGCACCAGCAAGAAAAGGAGCAGCCTGCTGCACCGCTCCCCCAAACTTTTTGCCAAAAGAATCGCTTAATGAAAGGTCCCTCCTGGTATGCCTGCTTCGGCTGTCCGGGAGCCGTGTCGACTCGGCTGCTGCCTCTCTGCCATATACTTTCTGCTCCTCTCTCCGCCTCACGTCACCCTGCTGCACTCCTTGTGCAGATTTTCCCAGAGACTTTTGCGGCGGCTCAGAAGTCAGCTCTTCCTGTGCCAGTTTTCCCTCAAATAGCTTCTCATCAGGCCTTGACTTGAAAGAATTGAAACTACGGCTTTCATTCACACGCAAGCGCCGCTCAACTCCTGTGCCAATGGCAATGTCACTGCAGCTCCAATTGGGTGACTTGCTATTGGCGGTTCCAGTGCTGCTGCTGCTGCTGCTGCTGCTGCTGGTGGCCCCAGTGCTGGCGCCAACAACAGGGTACGCCCCAAAACTCTTGCTCTTCCTGGTTACCTTCCCTTTCTTCGTCCCAGCTGATTGACCCTGTGAGTAAGTGTGTGGGTCAGTGTGTGACTGAGTGTGCGGGTCAGTGTGTGACTGAGTGTGCGGGTCAGTGTGTGACTGAGTGTGCGGGTCAGTGTGTGACTGACTGTGCAGGTCAGTGTGTGACTGTGTGTGTGGGTCACTGTGAGACTGAGTATGTGAGTCAGTGTGTGGTTCAGTGTATGAGTGAGAGTGTGAGTGAGATTCACGAGAGAAAGACTGCGGCTGATCAGCGGGCAAATACGACGAGAGAGAAGGGGCTCGGTGGTGAAAAACCTGTCGCTTAGTTAAACACTGCTTCGACGGGACAGACTCTTGAGTAACTGAGCCCGTTTCTTGGCTAAGTGGCGGCGACTTTTTATTAAGTGCGCGCAGCTCCTGGCAAGCAGAGACCAGCACCTGGTTAAGTGCTGCTTGGTTAAGCACTGGTTGGTTGAGTGTGGCTTGGCTAAGCGTGCTTAGGCTGGGTGCCTCGGATTGGGGCAAACCTGCGTTGCGAAGAGTGAGAGCACGAGGGACGTAGAGAGGCTTGGAAGAAGGTTTGGAAAAAGGCTTGGAAGGGGAGAGAGGTTTGGAAGTGGAGTCGCGGGAGGAAAGAAGTTTGGGCTTGGAAGCAGGCTTGGGGGGAGAGAGAGGATTGGAAGAAGGCTTGGGGGGAGACAGATGGGTGGGGGAATTATTTTGAGGTGAGATAACCCCCTTTGGGTGAACGGATGGGACGAGTGCTGGTGAGTGGGAGGAGAGTTGAGAGACGGAGGGAGAGGAGTGGTGGGTCAGAAGGTGGGGGTTGAGAAGAAAGAGGGAGGGAGGTGAAGAGAGTGAGTGAGAGTGCGAGGGGTTTCGGATTGACTGGGGTATTTTCGAAGAAGGGGAATGATCATGGGGTGGTGATAGGTCCTGGTATTCTGATGGTTGATGGTTCGACGATAAGGTAATGGTTGGAGATCGGCGATAGGCGATTGGCGATAGGCTTTCGATTGGAGATCGGCTTTCTGCTGACAAGAGGTTATCATGAGATGAGGATTTCTTGAGTGGAGGCAGCGATTGGGAGGGGTGACAAGAGGTGGAGGGTGGTGACTGGGAGAAAGAGAGGGCTTGAGGAAAGGTGAGAGAGGAGGAAGACGAAAGGGAGGAGCGGGTAGAGGGAGGGGGGGAAGGGGAAGCGGAATGGGGAAAGGGGGAAGGGGAAGAGTGTTGAGCGCTAGGGGGAGATTGGCCGGTGGGAGGAGGAAGGGTATTGGAGGGCGGGGTTGATTGAGGTAGGGACTGGGAGGGCGAAGTAAGAGAAAGGCCAGTGAGTGAAGGTAAGAACTTGGAGGGTAGGTCTGATAAAGAGCGAGTGTGGGACGGGGCGAGAGAGAGGGGCCATGACAACGGGGGGGATTGGGTGGGGGACCCACGACGCGATCTTATCTGATACTCCACGTTTGAGCTTATAACGAGGATCTGAGACTCCTGGGAGAAGCTCGGCCGTTGTGTTGTGGACTGTGAGCGTGGTAACAACCTGGGAGGAGACACCTGAGGGGAATCTTCAGGAGACACCTGAGGAGACACCTGAGGGGACACCTGAGGGGACATCTGAGGGCTTACAGTAAAAGTAAGCTCCCTAGGAAAGCGTATCCTGGCCGCTAACAAGGCTGGTGGGTCTACTAACGCAGACGAGTTTGTTCTTAACGTGTATGGAGCTGGCTTGTCAGCAGCAGGAGTAGCAGCCGCAGCAGCAGGAGGAGCAGCAGCAGCGGCAGCAACAGCGGCACGACTCGCATCAGGCAGAAATGCAGGCGGCGTCTGGCGGAAAGAGATTCCGCGGGGGGAAGGGGGGTAAGCAACAGTGGGGGGATATGCAGCTCCGCGGGGGGAGGAAGGGGCAGCGCGGGAGGCGCTGGCGCGGGGGGAGGAGGGGGCAGTGCGGGGAGCATTTGCGCGGGGAGAGGAGGGGACAGCGGGAGGGGCACTGCCGCGGGGGGAGGAGGGGGCAACGCGGGGGGCACTGGCGCGGGGGGAGGATGCGGTGCTGCTGAAGGCATGGGGGATGGGGGCAGTTCCGCGTGGGGAAGGGGGGAACGCGGGGGGGAGCGCGCGTCCCCGCGGGGAAGTGGGGAGACCAGGGGGAAACGCGCGTCCGCGTGGGGAAGGGGGGAAAGAGGAGGAGGAATATGCAGGTTCGCGTGGGGATGAGGCGGCGGATTGTGAGGGGGAGAGTGCGTGTGATTGTGATGGGGATGCAATGGAATGTGATGGGGAGAGTGAGTGAGAGCGGGAGGCGACGGATTGTGAGGGAGAAGCAACGGAGTGTGAGGGAGAGATGCCATGTGGTTGTGACTGGGACAGAGAGACGATGGATTGAGATGGGGAGATGGTTGGGGAGAGTGTGGGTGAGTGTGAGGGAGAGTGTGAGGGAGTGAGGGATGGAAGGAGGGAGGGTGAGGAGGAAACTGCTGAAGGGCGCCCTTTGATGAGTATGGAGGGTGAATGCATGCTTGCCGAACCTGAAGACCCCGAACCTGAAGACCCCAAACCTGAAGACCCCGAACCTGCAGTTGCCGAACCTGTGGATGCCGAACCAGCAGAAGCCAAGCCTGCTACAGAAGAAGCATTCACGGCTGAGCGCGAGCGGTGATGGAACGCGGATTGCCTCTGATACCGTTGCTGCTCCCACTGCTGCTGCTGCTGCTGCTGCTGATCCAGCTCTGGCTCTCTTTCGCCCTGTGGAAACCCCTCGAATGCTACACTCACGGCGTTGACTAAGTTGACCGCGTTGACCGCATTGACCGCATTCACAGCTGAACGCGAGCGGTGGTGCAATGTGGATAGCCTCTGATGCCTCTGCTGCTGCTGCCGCTGCTGATCTGTCTTCTGCTGCTGTGTGTTCTGCTGCTGCTGCCGCTGCTGATCTGTCTTCTGCTGCTGTGTGTTCTGCTGCTGCTGCCGCTGCTGATCCGTCTTCTGCTGCTGTGTGTTCTGCTGCTGCTGCCGCTGCTGATCTGTCTTCTGCTGCTGTGTGTTCTGCTGCTGTGTGTTCTGCTGCTGCTGCTGGTGCTGCGGCTTCGTCTTCTTCTGCTGCTGCTGCCGCTGCTGATCCGTCTTCTGCTGCTGTGTGTTCTGCTGCTGCTGCTGCTGCTGGTGCTGCTGCTCCGTCTTCTTCTGCTGCTGCTGCAGCTGCTGTTGCTGTGTCCTCGCCTGCTGTTGCTGCTGTGCCTTCGCCTGCAGCTGTTGCTGCTGCTGCTGCTGCTGCTGTTGCTGTGGCTGTGACTGTAAATCTCCTCTCGCTTGATGATGAGGCCTCTCACACACCCCGTTGACCCCGTTGACCCCCTTGACCCCGTTGACCACGTTGACCGCGTTGACCGCGTTGACCACGTTTGACGTGTACGAACGCGACCTATGATGTGACGCGAGGTGCCTCTGCCGCCGCTGCTGCTGCTGCAGCAGCTCTGCTGCCCCATCTCCCTCTCCCTCACACACCCCGTTGACCGCGTTGACCGCGTTTGACGTGTACGAACGCGACCTATGGTGCAGCGTGAGGGACCTCTGCCTCTGCTGCTGCTGCTTCTGCTGTAACTGCAGTTCTGCTGCCCCATCTCCCTCTGCCTCACACAACCCGCGAGAGCCGCTGACCGAGTTGACTGCGTTGACCGCGTTGACCCCGTTGACTAGCGACGAAAGCGACCGGTGGTGCAGCGCGGAGAATCGCCGCCGCTGCTGCGACCCCTCCAGCAGCCGCTGCAACTGCGCTGCCGCCCTTGCCGCCTCTGCCCTGTGCCTATCCGCCTCCGCTAATATCCTATCCGCCTCGTCGTTGACCCTGGTCAACGCGCTCGCCTCCTCCTGCCGCCGCTGCTGCGACCCCTCCAGCAGCCGCTGCAACTGTGCCGCCGCCCTTGCCGCCTCCGCCCTGTGCCTATCCGCCTCCGCTTTTATCCTATCCGCCTCCGTCCTGTGCCCGTCAATATCCAACTCATCGTTGACCCTAGTCAACGCACTCGCCTCCGTCCTGTGCCCGTGCCTGTCCGACTCGTCGTTGACCCTAGTCAACGCGCTCGCCCCCTCCTGCCGCTCCCACACAGTCTGCCCAAACATTTCCACGAAATCGTCGTCTGAGTCGACTGAGGGGCGCGAGTCAGCCTTCAGTCGTGCTAAAACGTCTAGAGACTGCTTCACCCGTTGCGCCTCCTGCGTTCTTTGCGTCTCATTCGCGTTTTCTCCCTCCTGAGACCCTTGCAACTGCTTCAGCTGTTGCTGCGTCTGCTGCTGCGCCTGCTGCGGTGACTGCTGCTGCAGCTGCTGCGTCTGCTGCGACAATATCACAGCCAAGCGCGAGGGACCGACGCGCTGCTGCTGCGTCGTCGCACCGCCAGCGGCACCGGCGGCGGCGGCGGCGGAGGGGCCGGTATTGAAAAGCGCCTCCAGGAAATCCTCGTCCGAATCCACTGATGGGCGGCAATCTACCCCGGAATCTGGGCGGCAAGCTACTCCCGGATCTGGGCGGCAATCTAGCCCCGGATTTGGGCGGCTAGCTACCCCTCCATCAGCCGCCGCCAAACGACTCAAGGAAGGCCCCAGCGGCGAACCGCGCCGCTGCACTGCTGCCGCTCTGCAAAGCGCTTCCAGAAAATCCTCGTCCGAATCGACGGAGGGAAGAGATGCTACGCCACCTGACTGGAATTGGACGGCTCTCGGACGGCACTCCACACCTCCGTTTACGTCTACGTTCACGTTTGCGCTTCCGCGTCGCGCCGCCACACCCTGACGAGACGCGGCGAAACGCTCTAATGCTGCAGCAGCAACAGGAGCAGCAGCAGCAGCAGCAGGTGCAGCAGCGGCGGCTGCTGCTGCTGCGCCGTTTTGAGTGGCTGCGACGTCGCGCAGCATTTGAACAAATTCCTCGTCCGAGTCGACCGTCTCAAGCTCGCTGTCGCATGGCGTCGCAAGAGGCTGCCGCTTGTCGCCAGCGGAAGCGGCGGAAGGGGCGGATGGGCGGAAACGAGGGCTGCGGGGGCTTCTGGGGGAAGTTTTGGGGGAGGGCGGGGCGAACCGGCCCCTATCCCCGCGTTGGGCGGCAGACGCCGCCGAGCGGAAGCCGCCGCGCGGGGATCGGGGGGACACGGGGGGCTTCCGCGAACGTTCGTCCTCAAAAATGCTCGCGTAGATTCCCGTGACGTCCATCGAACGGCTAGGAACGTGCCGATGCTCTTTCGCCGAGCGACTATACTCTCTCGCCAAGAGATTAGAACCTTGGTTGACTTCCCCCTGGCTGCCATTCCCCTCCACCTGACTGTCATTCCCCTGACTGAAACCCCCCTGCCTGAAATCCGCCTGACTGGAAATCCCCTGCCTGCTGTACCGACCCTCGCCTCCCCCCTGATTAACCGAGCTCCCCGCACCGCCCATCCTTTCACTATCGTAGTACGCGATATTCGCAAAAATACCCGTGACGTCCATCGACCGACTAGGAACGTGGCGATACTCCTTGCTGGAGCGACAGCTGCGAAGCGACTCGGCCTGACTGCTGGTTACGCTACTTATGCTTTCGCTAGCGTTGGATGAAACACTGGAATGGATGTCAAACGAGTCTGCCACTAACGGGTTCGCCTGCGACCAGGAATGCTGCCTGGAGTGCCGTCGCACGGCCGACCCCGCGCGTCGCAAGCTCGCCGTCGCACGAGTCGCCGCGTCTGCAGTCTGCTGCGCGAATACCACCATGCGACCGGACAAAGCCCTGCGACGTGAGTCAGGCGACAGAATATCAACCGAGGAGTTAACAAGTCGTTCTCTGGGAGACTCTTTCGGCGACTCTTTCGGCGACTCTTTTGACGAATGTCTTGGCGACTGAGAGTCACGGGAAAGATTCGATTGCCTCGAAAACTTCCCTCTTGTAAAGGAAGACGGCGCGGTGATTGGGCCTGGTGAGAACACCGGCGAGCAGGTAGACGGACCGTCAGGGGAGCCGTCAACTTTGACGGCTAGCCGACTGAAACGACTTGGCTTGACCAAAGTAGACGGCGCCGACTCCGACAGAGAACGCGGCTTTAAGCGGTGCGCTTGTGACCGTTGATAATGATCCTGGGACTGTTGGCGTTCCTCTAGCCGTTGATCATGCCATTGCGACCGTTGATCCCCTCTCAGCTCCTCCCAAACGTCATCCGTACCGTACAAATCCGCGGAATCCTCTCCCATCCTCTCCTCCTGAGCCTCCGCAATTTCGCTCGCAGTCGCACTGCTAGGGTTTGCTAGACTCTGCGATTTCCCTTTTACCCTATTCTGTTTCTGCTGCTGCTGCTTCTGCTGCTGCTGCTGCTGTTGCTGCAGCTGCTGCTGTCTCTGGGACTGCTTCAGGCTCCATGATCCTTGCTTCTCCTCTCCCCTACTACCGTGCGTCGTTCGAATCGCCTCGGAAAACGCGACCCGCGTCGCCGGTTCGAGAGATGTTTCACCCGCCGAAACTTGCGTGCCGGCGTCTGGCGAGAAAGAATCCGCGACGAAATCTTGCGATCCCGGACCGTCGTTCCCAGGTTCCCGCCTAAGCATCTCCTGAAGCTCCCGCCATCCCAGGTGGCGGTTTGATTTGCTGTCCTCTACTATGCTCGATTCCGTATGAAGCTGCTGCTGTTGCTGTTGCTGTTGTTGCTGCTGCAGCTGCCATTGCGACGCTTGCAACTCATTCTGTCTTCTTTGCGACGGGAACCCTAACAGGACGCGCGGCTCGGTCTGGTCCAAGCAACTGACGATTTCCATGTTCGCTGGTCTTTAAAACATAAAATTGTGTAGCTAAAAATCAGCGGCAAGCATACGCGTCGCACGAGATTAGCTGGAAGTCCCTTCGACATTGATAATGTCAAATGCATATGTGTGGAACAGGACAGGAGATTATTACAGACTTCGGAAATACTAATGGTCCAGACATAATCTCCTAATTCGAGTCCGCCTCGCGTCTAGACAAAAAAACACGAACTACCCAAGGGAGTTGACGTTCTGTGCTCCCACCCATGCTCCACAGGATGATGTGGAAAGATATAGGAAGGAGTCACAACAAGCAACCACCACCAAGCACACAGTGAATCGACCACCCAGGCATTCCCGCGTTTTTGCAACGTGGAATGATCATCTCATGATCATCTCTTCCCTGCCTGCCTACAGAACCATACTCCCGGACGGTTTCCACCCTGACCGTTTCACCTTGTGTTCTGTTTTACAGCAATGTTCTGGAAATGTCAAACGAGAATAAAAGTGGTACAGTATTTTTAGAACCAGGTTTGGATGGGTTGGGAGGAACTAAACTGTTCAATGTTACTGAAACTGATTCACTTGAGAACTGAATCACCGTTGCTACAGCACTTGCCAGAGAATCCACACCCACATGGGTTGCAAGAGCGGAAGGGGACAAAACGAAACCCGAGGCACGCAGTTGTCTTGGAACGGAAGGGCACATTCTCGGGTTTGTCTTGTCTCCTTCGAGCTTGCCCCCACTTCTATTCGACACTCGGGTGAGAGGCTAATTTGTTTCACAAGTTCGTGTACTTCAGTGTCGATCAGGACGCGTTGAAAGTGCAAATATCGCGGGATCGCGAGCATAATCGAGCCCCGCAATCGAGTGGGCAGTTCGATTGGCGAAACATGAAGACCGATACGCTGTAACGATCGCACCTGAGCTTTGTGGTGGATGTTCCAGGGCCGAAATTACTGCCCTGCATGCGATTCGCACCCAAAACATATACGTCGTCCATACACACCTGCGACACTCGCAGCCAGCAGGGCAACCACCCTGGCGATGTGATGTTTACAGATTTCGCCAAATGTGGACAATTTGGGCGACAGCGATTCCTGGCTCTGCGAAATTTCAGAAAGTCGCAGGCATCAGAATCAATCGCGCCATGTAGGCTCGGTTCGAGAGCATCAATGACGCTTTGATGCCTCTCACTGATCTCCCGTGATCAGTGATCAGTCCCATTCACACAATGCACAAATTCTGGCAAAAAACCGAACTGTAGCAAGGTTACAGCACAGTAAAGAGGGTTACAGATCCGCACATCAATCGCCACCCACGATCGATCGTCTTCTTTCAACGCGTCCTCAGGAGAACCAAGACATTTCTCGCTAGGCATTCACCATCTGCCACTGCCTTGGTGAATGCTGTGCAGTATTGATGTGCTTCTCCCTGAACAAGGGCAAGGGGAAAAGTTTCGACTTGCCCTTGAAAGGCTGCGGTGCGGTCCTTCGAGGACGCACCCACAGGCGGTGCGACAAGGGACCGACATAGCTGCTTGCCAACCACTCACTTCGCCGCAGGTCCAGAGCGGTTATCATATCCCTTACAGTGATGGGATGTATGCATACAATCACCTACAAAATGCTTATTGCATCATGCTACCTTATTCATAGTGCAGCACAGCACTGAAAAAAATCAGCACCAGAAGAAGTCCATAAGAAGAAAAAAAAAATCAGAACCTCGGATACCAAAACATCGCCTTGATTCCCTCGGGATCTGCTTCGAATCCCATGCCCTTGTAGAAGTCCACCACTGGATGAACAGCAACAATCACCACAAAGTAGATTGAACAAATTTGAGCCAAAAAAACATTGTTGAACTTCTGCAGACATTGATAGACATCCGATACTGTACCTTGCGAATCTGCAAAGAGGGTGATGTTGCCGATATCTCGCCGCAACAGGGCCCGAACCGTTTGCTCCACTAGAGCCTTGCCCAAGCCTTGACCCTGTGCCAGGTGATCCAGATACGGTATGAATATAAATCAGAATATTACATGTTGTCATCACGTCATTTCAGAAATTTCCGGGCCTTGACCCTGTGGTTAGCTTAGGGTACATTCCGGGCTTTGGTCGGAACAGCTGGTTAACACTGTAACCAACCTAACAATTAGCACAATTGGTGAGAAACAAGTACGATTAAGGGTCGCAGGAACGGAGGTTTGACCAGAGACCCGAATGTACTCTTATTCAGGCATGGGATGGGTATGTGTGCACACACACTGTGGGACGGATCTTGGCATGGGTCATAAGCACATACACGAGCACATACACAACCAAGCACATACAGACAAGATTGCAGACAAAAATGAGCAGATGCATTAAACTTACATATATGAGTACATACACACATATGCAGCTGGGACACACATGAGCACATCCACACGTGAGCACAGCACATCCACACATGAGCACATCCACACATGAGCACATCCACACATGAACACATGCATACAGATATTTCCATATCCACCAGCATGTCGCAAATGGTTGTATTAATGTGTGGTCTGACGCGAAGGAATGCAAACCGGGTGTGATCCAAACAGCAATAACTCATGCCGCACTCACATGTGGGGTGACTGAAAGCACCACACCACAGTACCTGATCGAACGTGAAGTAGTAGCAATACTGTACCTGGAACGTGCAGCATCAGCAATGCTGTACCTGGAACGTGCAGCATCAGCAATGCTGTACCTGGAACGTGCAGCATCAGCAATGCTGTACCTGGAACGTGCAGCATCAGCAATGCTGTACCTGGAACGTGCAGCATCAGCAATGCTGTACCTGGAACGTGCAGCATCAGCAATGCTGTACCTGGAACGTGCAGCATCAGCAATGCTGTACCTGGAACGTGCAGCATCAGCAATGCTGTACCTGGAACGTGCAGCATCAGCAATGCTGTACCTGGAACGTGCAGCATCAGCAATGCTGTACCTGGAACGTGCAGCATCAGCAATGCTGTACCTGGAACGTGCAGCATCAGCAATGCTGTACCTGGAACGTGCAGCATCAGCAATGCTGTACCTGGAACGTGCAGCATCAGCAATGCTGTACCTGGAACGTGCAGCATCAGCAATGCTGTACCTGGAACGTGCAGCATCAGCAATGCTGTACCTGGAACGTGCAGCATCAGCAATGCTGTACCTGGAACGTGCAGCATCAGCAATGCTGTACCTGGAACGTGCAGCATCAGCAATGCTGTACCTGGAACGTGCAGCATCAGCAATGCTGTACCTGGAACGTGCAGCATCAGCAATGCTGTACCTGGAACGTGCAGCATCAGCAATGCTGTACCTGGAACGTGCAGCATCAGCAATGCTGTACCTGGAACGTGCAGCATCAGCAATGCTGTACCTGGAACGTGCAGCATCAGCAATGCTGTACCTGGAACGTGATATGGGATCCAGCAGCACGCCCCCCAGATGGTGGCGTTGAAGCTGTGGTCTGAATGTGGAAGTGAGAATTCTGGGTTTGCTTTCAACACAGACAGCTCCTGCTGCAGTGACACGTGTTGCCCTGACATGTGATTCAACAGCAATACTGTACCTGGAATCTGGGTTCCACCAGCATCCCCCCCAGCTGGTGGCGTTGAATGTGTGGCTAAAACGTTACCAGATATATATATTGCGTGTGCTTTCAACACTGACAGTTGCTGCAGCGACGCATTTTGCATTGACATGTGCTTTATCGCACAGGAAGGGGTACCTGGAATCTGGGATCCACCAGCACGTCCCAGATGGTGGCGTTGAACGAGTGGCCGTGTGATCCCAACAAAGTGCACAAAGTTCATTGATGTCGCAATTTTTGTACCTGGAATCTCGGATCCACCAGCACGTCCCAGATGGTGGCGTTGAACGTGTGGTCTGACGTGATCGAATGTGCATCGGTGTGATTCCAACAAAGTGCATAAGACATGCGCTTGAAGGCAGCAACGGCAGTACCTGGAATCTCGGGTCCACCAGCACGTCCCAGATGGTGGCGTTGAACGTGTGGTCTGTCGTGATCGAATGTGCATCGGTGTGATTCCAACAAAGTGCATAAGACATGCGCTTGAAGGCAGCAACGGCAGTACCTGGAATCTCGGGTCCACCAGCACGTCCCAGATGGTGGCGTTGAACGTGTGGTCTGACGTGATCGAATGTGCATCGGTGTGATCCCAACAAAGTGCATAAGACATGCGCTTGAAGGCAGCAACGGCAGTACCTGGAATCTGGGATCCACCAGCACATCCCAGATCGTGGCGTTAAACGTGTGGTCTGACGTGGCTCGGGCCATGCCTATCAGCTCCCTCTCCCCGCCCTCTGTTTCCCCTTCTGTGGGAGTGCGACAGATAGCAGCAGCAGAGAGGAGCGGAGGCGGACAGTGAGGCAAGGAGAGGGCATGGTGGCGTTGAACATGTGGTCTGACGTGGCTCGGGCCATGCCTATCAGCTCCCTCTCCCCGCCCTCCGCCTCCCCCTCTGATGGAGGAACGAGGGGAGGGAGCAGAGTAGGGAAGGGTAGGGAGGGAGGGAGGGAGGGAGGGAGGGTAGGAGGGAGGGAGGGAGGGAGGGAAAGAGGGAAGGAGGGTGGGAGGGAGGGAGGGAGGGAGGGAAAGAGGGAGGGAGGAAGGGAGGGAAAGAGGGAGGGAGGAATAAAGCAGCACGTCCTGAGATTAAACGTGCCGTCTGATGTGGCGCACGCCATGCCTATCAGCTCCCTCTCCCCGCCCTCCGTTTCCCCCTCTGATGGAGGGACGGGCGGAGGAGCGAAGTAGGGCAGGGAGGGAGGGAGGGAGGGAGGGAGGGAGGGAGGGAGGGAGGGAGGGAGGGAGGGAGGGAGGGAGGGAGGGAGGGAGGGAGGGAGGGAGGGAGGAAGGGAGGGAGGGAGGGAGGGAGGGAGGGAGGGAGGGAGGGAGGGAGGTGGTAGCCAGGTGCAGCGCGGTAACCAGGTAACTGTAACGCAGAGCCTCCTCCAGCTTCTCAAAAGGGCTTTTCGTGCTCCCCACCTTCTCACAATGACGCTCCAACCCACACACATCCACCTCACCCCTGCCTACCTACTATCCCTCGCCCCAAACTGATAACACTATCTTACTGCTGCTACCATCGTCCCCGTTTGTATCAACCAACACCACCTTTCCAACCCACGCACATCCACCTCGCTTCTTCCTATAACCACCCGCCCCCCCCTGAAAACACAATCCTGCCAGGTGCAACCTACCTGCAGCGCCGGGCGGGCGGAGTGGTAACCAGGTGCAGCGCGGTAACCAGGTAACTGTAACGCAGCGCCGCCTCCACCTTCTCAGGAGGCCGCCTCGGCCACCCCACCTTCTCAAACAGCCGCTCCAACGCATACACGTCCACCTCGCCCCCCTTTCCCCCCCACCTGGTGAAACCTACCTGGAGCAGCAGGCGGAGTGGTAACCAGATGGAGTGCAGTAACCAGGTAACTGTTACGCAGCGCCGCCTCCACCTTCTCAGGGGGCCGTTTCGGCCACCCCACCTTCTCACACAGCCGCTCCAACGCGTAAACATCCACCTCGCCCCCCGCTGAAAACACTATCTTACTGCTGCTGCCATCCTCTGCCTTTGTCTCCACCAGCACCACCTCTCCATACACTCCCTCCTCTTCCTCCTCGTCCTCCGAGTCCCCGTCCTCTTCCCCTGAGTCGTCATTGTAGTCGTCGTCACTTTCGGGGCCTCTCCCAGGGGACGCCCTCTCTGCTTCTTCCTTCTTGTCGCCGCCCAACAACCTGGGGAGTGGAAGTGACACGGAACATGACACACGGCATGCCACGGGGGATGACACGGATGTGATACATTACTCTCGTGGCACAGGAAAGGGAGGTGACACCAGAAACGACCACTCGTACGGGACTAAACTCATGACATGACGCCTCGAATACCAGGGTGCGTGAGTTGAAACGAGAAGGGTTTCACTGAAACCGGGCTTCCCTAAAATGTTGTAACTGTACCCAACGAAGAAGCTGGGTGTTACAACCGCACCAAAAAAGCTGTTGTAACCTTACCGAGCGAAGAATCCGAGAGTTGTAACGGCCATGGAGGGGAGGAATGCAGGAAGGGAGAGGGGACGCGCGGGAAAGGAAGCGACGCCGAATGAGGGAGGTACTGCAGCAAGCGACGACGAAACGATCACTGGAAAACAAATACAAGAACATTAGAGTGAAAAAAACAGGAGGCACAGGGAGAATTTTAAGAATATTATTAGCAAAAACAAATATTCTATGAAGGACCTTTATCGTATATTCAGCGTTAGGAACTAAGGTACCGACTTAAATGCAAAACACTTCTCAGTGCTGCCATATCTTACTTGCTTGTCTCCTCGGCTTCGTAATGCGATCGCTCGCTAGCCGCCGCGCGTGACTTTGGTCGAAACGGGGTTTCGCGTATGGAAGCACAGCTGCCGCCATGTGGACGGCTAACAAGAAAATCGAGAAATTAAGTACAAAACAAAAACTTGGTCGAAAGTAAACGGTTCTGCGGGCCCAAACGAGCGAGAAACAGGGAGAACCAAGGTACCTTAAAATATATAAGCCCAATCCAACGACACTAGTGCGAGCTCCGACCTAAAATGCGGGTTTCACCATAGATTATGTTCTCTAATCAGCTCGGAACCTGGAACATAGGCAGTTCCTGATCCCAATACCGTAGAAGTAAGGTAGGCCGTGATCACGTTTTGGATAAGGCCATGGATGGCATCACGTTACCGTTGCCTGAGGTCGTCAAAGAGGCAGTGTTTACAAACTTCAGGGGGGGTCAAGTTCGTTCGCTTTCGATTCAAAGTCGGCGGTGGAAAAGATGGCGTTTCGAAGCGGTTCGCTTGTTCCACCACTTTGAACCGTTCCCGGCAGTCTGAGAAACACAGGTTGTGAAAACGATCTAGGTTCGAAATGCACTGAACAGGGGTGGACTTCTCAAACAAGGTCGATTCTGTGCGAAGACTGTCGTTGGCATTTCGCAACCTCCCAACCTCCCTCGCCACACGTGCCTTTGTTCGCCAACTCGTCTCGATTCTCGTCAGCACGGTTCCCCTTCGTGCGACGTACGGCGACTGTCATTTTTCGCTTTCGCCCCTCCAATTCCACAGCCGTGATGCGATTTTGCCTGCGCCTGTTCCTTCCGTTCTGTTCCTTCCCTTGGCACAGTGATGGTGGAATTATGGTGGAGTAAAGAAACCCTACACATGGCCTCCCTGTGCCAGCAGTGCTGCTGAGCAATGCAAACTTTGGAATCCAGCAATGCAATGGCACAAGCATTGGCACAATCACCTTTCTGATTTTCCAAATATTCCCTTCTAATTGCGTTTGAAGCAGTCACTGTGGCGACGGAAAGCACACGGTGACGACTATGACGTTCTGTCCAAGAATTGACGAAGCGCGTTGAAGAATTTCTCTCCCGCATGACCAGCCAGAGGTCGCGACGCGCATTCAATGATGGTTTTCAATCCTCCTCTTGCTCACTGGCTTTCCTAAGCGAACCTTGATTCTTTCTTTGGTATTTGTAATTGCTCGTTTCTATGACATCTTTATCATGGAGTCATCTACGTTTTACCGTCTATTAATGTGTAAGCGCTTACTATTTCCCCCCCTTCGCAAGTGCACCAAGCCTCTACCGCTGAAACGCATCGTGCTTCTAACGAGACCTCGCCCTGCCCTCTGCCTCCGTGTGCGTGCAGGTGTGCTAGTAACGGTGCGGTTCCGCACAACCGCTGGTGCAGCAGCGCCTGCCGCGCCGTCGCTCCCAGCGCCCCTCTTACTCTCGTCATTCCCAGAGTCCTTACTCTCGTCCCTTGCAGCAGCATCAGGTCCAGGCGGGCTCCCTGTCGCGTCGTCCGCACAGAGCGCGACTGTTCCTAAAGGAAAAGTATTTTGTGAGTGCGTTCAATCAGCCCAATCACGAGAATGTTTCAATCAATTCTTCAGCTGCTTCCTTATCAATCTATCGTTAAAGAGTTGGGTTACTGCTAGATGATCCCACCCAGTGATTTTTAGAGGGACGCGGCATCTTTTCACGAGCCCAGGTTCATAGCAAGATGCGGCAGAGCACAGACAGAAAGCATCTTCGTTATTGTATAACTTACCCAGCTGCGTTGGAGGGAAAAACATCTTTATACCATCGTGCACGCCTTCCACGCAATTTCACTTTCAGTGCGCTTTGCGGGCAAGCTGCGACCAACCCGTAGCCGCGGAAAGATCGTTGGTGACTTGGCAGCAACGGGGAAATACTCGTTTTTCGGACTTGAGTGGGTATATCTTGTGTTGCTTGCTTTCACTATTCTGCTTCGCTTTTGAGTCGACTAAAAAAAGTGACCTCCTTCTGAACCATGGAAACACCTTTGGTGGCGTGGGAATGGGGAAATACTCGTTTTTAGTTAGTAATTGTTTGTTGCTTGCTCTTATATATAGTTTGGTGCAACACCTTGCTTCATTTCCATTCCTGAGACATTCGATGTGTCATCTGCGCTTCTTTTCGTGAAATTGTGTATTTTCCTGAGACCAAATCTTCAATGACGAACGTTGACCTAACATATGAGGATCCACCTGTCTCTGCCATTCTCCGAATGATGGGTGGCACTGGCAGGTCCTCTGTTCTGAATGTTACATTGTGCAGAGAATACGTGTGTACAACATCCGATCAGGAGGGGCTCAACCCTTTGCAAGTCCTGTTCAATCGTGCCTTGCTGCCAAGATGCCAACTGAGAAAAACGTCACACATTGGAAGAACATCATAAGCACCTGGAGTGGGTTGCTCAAACGCTACAGCTTTGTTAATTTGCTGCAGTATGGCCCACTGACAAAAGCCAAGGTGCAGGAAGTGGTGCAGCACTACGGTGAGGCGATGTCCAAATATTATGTGGCTGTGTCTCATCCAAATAACAACCATGCACTCTGTGGGAGATTAGGAAAGAGATATGCGAAAGAAGTACTGTCTGTTGGGAACAAGTACCGGTAGTCTTAAGTGTCAAATATTATAGCCTGTAGTGGGTTGGGCTATATGGGGTACAACTAGTTAGGGTTAGGTGATGTACCCCAATTCTGTCAATACAACGCATTCCGTTGTAGTTCTCATTTTGACATGGTATCAGCAGTAGGTTAGCGCTCCTAGTCCTAGGCCCGCCCTTCCCTACCACCAGGGTTACCACTGCACCCTGCCAGCCCGCCAGCGCCCTACCCTACGCCTCAGCCGGCGCGCCCCTCCCCTCCCCGCCCTTAGCCAGCGCGCCCGCCAGCCAGCCAGCGCGCCAGCCAGCCAGCGCGCCAGCAGCCTGCGCGCCAGCCAGCTAGCCTGCGCGCCAGCCAGCCAACGCACCAGCAGCCTGCGCGCCAGCCAGCCAACGCGCCAGCCCGCCAGCGCGCCAGCCCGCCAGCGCGCCAGCCAGCCTGCGCGCCAGCCCGCTTGCACGCCAGCCCGCCAGCGCGCCCGCCAGCGGGCGCACCAGCGAGCCCGCCGACTCGCCTGCCAGCGCGCCCGCCATCGAGCTCGCCAGCGCGCCCGCCAGCACGCACGCCAGCGCGCCCGCTAGCGCGCCCGCCAGCGCGCCACGCCAGCGGGCCCCGCCAGCGCGCACGCCAGCGCGCCGCGCCCGCCAGCGCGCGCCCTGCTTAGCCGCCCGCCAGCGCGCCGCGCCCGCGCGCCACGCCAGCCAGCGCGCCGCGCCGGAGCGCGCCCCGCCGCCCCGCGCCCAGCTAGTGCGCGCCCCGCCTGCACGCACCCGCCTCGCACTCACCTCCCTCTCCTCCTCCTCTCGCGGCTGGCGGCCGCTATCACTTGTCCTCGCCCCTCATGGCGACGTCTCGCCTGCTCCGTTTCGACCCTGAGGGGCGTGCGATCGACTTTAGTACCTGGCTGACGCAGGCCCAGCGCCACCTTAGGAGCCAGCGCCAGGATGGCGTGCACCTGTTTGCGCATGCGTCCGGTGCTCTGCCCGCCCCGCTGCAGCTTTCACCGCTGCCCACTACCCCACCGCCTACTTCCGAGCAGGAGGCTGAGTACCAGCGCCGGTTCCTCGCTCGTGACGTGTGGGAGTCTCGTGACGCTGCTGCCTGCCTCGCCCTGATCGACCTTCTCCCGCCGACTGAGGCTGTCCACTTCACTCAGGTCGAGTCTGCTGCAGACCTTTACACTGCTATTGTTGCTCGCTACTCCACTCCCTCCTCTGCCTCCCTCAGCCGCCTCCTCGTCCCCTTTATCTACCCTGACCTCGCCTCCTTTGAGACTGTCGCTGACCTCGCTACCCACCTGCGCTCCCTTGAAGCTCGCTTCAAGACCGCTTGCACTGAGGAACAGCTTGCCCTTGCACCCCCCCCCATGTGGCTCACTATTCACTGGTTAGTCACTCGCCTCCCTGACCGTCTAGCCACAGCCCGCGATGCGCTTCTCCTGAAGCACCCCACTGAGCTTACTATCGATCTTCTTGAGACCGCTCTCTCGAAGATCGAGAGTAACCTCCTCGCTGTTGCCTCCGCCTCTTCCGCGCCTCCTCCTCGTCTCTTTGAGGGGTGTGCGGTACCACAACTTCCCACCTTCACTGCCTCGCTTGCCACTGCCGCGTCTTCTGCCTCTGAGGAGACGGCGGCCGTTTCTGTCTCTGGCGGACAGAAACGTGGCAAGTCCGGCAAGAAGGGAGGGAAGGGCGGCGGGGGTTCAGGGGGTGTTGCGGGTGGCGGCGGTGGCGGTAGTACTAGTGGCGGGGGTGACGGCGGGGGTGACTCGGGACCTGACGACTCTCCTCTAGACGGTGGTGAGGGGTTTTCGCAGCAGCAGCAGCAGACTCCTCCGCAGCTGCCACCGCCTGGACAGCAGCAGCGGCAGAGACAGCAGCAGCAGCGCCAGGGCCAACAGCAGCGTCCGCCTCAGCAGCAGCCCCAGCAGTGGGGCACTCTGCAGCAGTGGGGCACTCAGCAGCAGTGGGGCCCTTTGCAGCAGTGGGCCCCCCCGCAGCAGTGGAGACCTACGGGCCCCCCGACCACTGGGCGCAGTGGTGCCCCTTCTAGTCGGGGACCCCGCTCGGCCGGCCGCGACGTTGGTCCCTGTGAGTACTGGATCCTGACGGGTCTGCGCAGGGGCACGTACTCCGGCCGCCCTGACCACTCTGCTGCACGCTGCTTCAGCCGTCTTGACGGCCTGTACGTCCTGCACCACGGTCCCTCCGCTCCCCCGCCACCGCGCTGGGGACCGCTCCTTGCTCGTGGTGTTGCTGTGTTTGATATGTCTATGGATGATGCTAGGTCTTATGCCATGTATGCTGATGCTGACTATAGTGCTGTCGGATTTGTTTACTTGCCTGTACCTAGCGTAGGATCTTTGCCTGTTGCTAGAGTAGGTGCTGGTGTAGGATCTTCTCTAGCTACTAGTACAGGTGCTCCCTCGGCGGACGCGTTGCTCTCCTTCACACTGGACTCCGGAGCGA